GTACAAATCTTCTCTGGCTTATCTGTCTGTGAATATCACACACAACAGACATAACATGAGAAATTGTTTAAAATAGGACCCGACTGATATGGATTTTTAGGGCCCATACCGATATCGACATTTGAGAGTGACACAAATTAGATACCGATATATTGGCCGATATCTTTTTTATATCTATGTTATTTTTTGCACATTTTTGCGTTGATCCCTGAAATGCAGTTATCAAACACTAAAAAAGATATTGAGTACAACGAAGACAAGATGGTCACTCATATGGAAAGTAACTGTGCTTGTGCGTGCATCACCGTGTGACACCCTGGAGAGTGATAATGTTTGTTGTAATCCATATAGCGCACTCTGCTGGTGACAGCCAGAAAGAGAACTTCTAGTGTAATTCAATGATATTCAAATGAAATGCTATTTGACTGCTAAGTAAATCTAGTAATATCGGCGATAAAATTAGCCGATACAGATGGTCAGTGGATATGCTTATATTGACCGATATTATCGGCTGGCCGATTTATCGGTCAGGATTTAGTTTAATGGATGTTTCAATACAAAGTAGAGAAAAGAGGGAAAATGGACAGGGAACCCTTGAAGCAGCCAACATGGCCACCATCTCAAACTGAGAGCAGCAAGACTTTCTCTCTTCCAGCTAATTTTTAAATATTTTGAGTTTATAATTATTTGAATTTAATATGTCCAATCTATGACATGAGGTTTAATTGACTTTGCACAGAAACAGCCATTCGAAAAGTCTTTCTGGGGGACAATTTCTACTTTTACATAGTGAGGAGATTTCTAATGCTTTCATTTTCTTTTGAACCTGCAGGGTCCGGTGTTTTTACTGGAGGATGGTAAATCTGCAATCTCTCTGAATGATGCTCTAATGTGGGCTAAAGTCAACCCCTTCTCTCCTTTGGGAACAGGAATCCGCATCAATCCTTTCTAGCACACACACACACACACACACACACACACACACACACACACAGAGACAGAGGACATTGCCATGAAAGAGTTAGCAGAATGTGAAGTGCTGTAATGGAAAATAAAAATGAAAACCGGGCTGTGAGTAACATTTTTGTGCTTCAGCCAACCGGCCAACTGCATTTTATAATTTCCTGAGCCAGAAGACATGAACAAACAGTTCATTTGTTTCAAACGAGCTTGAGGTTAGCTTAGCTGTAATGTGACGAGAACGTAGCCAACACAATCATTGTGCTTTATCTGAGGAGCAGATAATGATTTCAGTTTGTACATATGATCTTAATTTATTCTATTGTTGTAAAAAAGAAAACGCTGGAATAAAGCTACCACTGCATATTTACATGAGACTTGAACTTATTGTGTTGCACTCACACTGAACACTACAATCAGAACATAAAGGCTGCAGAAAGCAGCAGAGTGTGAAGCACATGAAGAATACAGAGACAGATGGTCCATAACACATATGTGTTCCCAGTAAAAAAACAAAACATCGGCCTGAAGGCAACAGACAGCAGATCATGAAAAATAAGAAAAAGCAGTTATTCATGCATTTGATGTAGAAGGATGAACAGCATCTCATGCATGTATGGATGTAGTGACCCTCCATTAATCAGCACAGGGACTGTTTGGTTCACATGGTCGTCGCGTAAACACAGCTGGAGCTAATAAGCTTCCAAATTCTTTGTAGGGAAATGTACCGACAGTCATTCAGCAATATGTGCTTCATAATCAAACAATAAGTGAATTAAATGTATCAACTCTGACTGTGACTCATTTGAAGGAGTGTATTCTGCATGTTTCACTCAATAAACCAGTTGGATGAGAAGACTGAAGCCACTGTCATATATTTAAGCCAACAGAGGATTAGCTTATTCTAGTGTGGATTAGCCTAAAGACTATAAACAAAGGAACCCAGCATGCCTGGCTCTAATAAATAAAATAATAAAAACCTGCTGTACTTCTGCCTGCTTTTCTAAAGCACACTGCTCGTGTTTTGTCTTGTTTGATCTGGACACAGTTTGTCACTAGGTTGAATCTTTAGTGTTTTCCTGAGCAGTTCCATCAAGCAGTGACTGCGAGGTGTCCGGCTAATCAACTAGCTTTAATGCCTGAAAGTCTACAAAGACTAATGCTCTAGTAGCTGATATCATGATTAACCCTTTAATGTCTGTTTAGAGTTTACTTTTGACCACATTAAGTACCAGCTGAGCTCAAAACAGATCCATGCAAACTTCAGTGGTCAAATAAGTTTTCTTGAAGTACTTTATTTAGTTATTAGTCACAAGAGACGGCAAAACATAAAAATGATAAGTTTAGAAACCAAGAAGAATGAATTTTGTTGTTTCCACTTCCAACAGAAAAAAGAGATAGTGACATAGATTAAGTGATTAGGTTAACAGAAATACCATTTTCTATGAGGTTTCACTATATATATATAACCCCCCCCTAAAAAAAACCCACTTAACAGCTTTATCAGATTAAAAAACATCTTATCTCTGTGTCTCTGATAAGGATTTATAAGTGACAATTTTCAGTTTTGACAACAAGAGCCAAACTGCTAGTGTTGAGATAGATTAAGTTCATTCTTGTGTACCTCCAAATTAATCAAACTTTTCAATGATTTCTGTATAACATCACAATAGGTCTAACAAACACTTCAATTTAATCATCCTTTTATAAATCATAGTTTTATCATTTTGACTTCCGTCTTACCTCTGGTGGGGCAAACAGATACTTTCCCCCCTTGAGTCTAGTGTTAAAGTTTTGTTCACCTTAAGAGTGCAGGTTCATACGGCTTCCTCGAGAGATAGAGAGAGAGAGAGAGAGAGAGACGGTTTGGAAAGAGGCCAACAATTTAAACCTTGTGAAAAGATGGAGTTGTTTGGGGAAGTGACAAGGAATGTCAACCCTGAGCAAAGCCTGAATCACAGCTCACAGCTTAGCAGAATTCATGTAAAGACACATTTGACTGTAAATTGGATTGCTGCATATAACAGCTTTATGTTCATTCTTTGGCTGTAAGGAAGTCACAGAGCAGTTTATTAACTAAAATCTAGCTTAATTCATCTTTTGAATATACTGATTCTGAAACGAAATGCCAAGTCATTTAATGATGTAAAGTCTACTATATTTATACTTTTTCACTGCCGGTTTTCTTTGTTATTTTTCTACCATAATGTTTGATTTAAGAATTTTTGGAAGTGTAATATTTGTGCTGCGTTCAGGGACTGCGGCGTGTTTACTGCTGCACTCAGCCAAACAGGAAGTGCACCAAGTGTGCGTGTATACATCACTTTCAGGGACACACATCCTGATTTACATCAGCTGATCAGAGACAAAGGTTTGTTGTTCCTGATTGGTGAGAGGCTGATTTTGGGGGTTTACTGTTTGAGTTTAGGGAGTCTCCTGTAAATGATCGACGTTAAAGCCATGAAATGGACTTAAGTTAACATAAATAAACTAGGAATAGTTCTGGTCCTTTCTGATTGAAAAGACTGTACAGTAGAATAAAACCATAGTACCAAAAGAGAGTTAAAAATCAGTCAATGGGTTGTTTCAGTGTCTGCAAAGCCACAGTCTAAATACAAAGCAATATGAAAACTAGATGCTTTCATTGTGATCACCCTCAGAAATAAAGCATGCGTTATAATCTTTGTCCTGTATTTATAGATCATCAGATTAAAGAAATAAATATGTTCCTGTAAACTGCAAAATCGTCAGGTTCTTGGAAAAGTTGATAGTGTTGAGGTATTGTTTTATGTCATTTTAACCTAAAAGTCAATTTCATAGTGGATTTACTAAGAAAATTTAACCAGTTAAAAACTGGGCTGAATGTGCCTCCAACTGTAAAGAGAGTGAAGAAAAAGAGGACACTTTCCTTTTTAAAACATTGTTTCATGTAAGAATTAAGCGTCTTGCTATAGCTATAGCTAATGTTACTGTAAGTAGGGAAGACACTTTTTACAGCAAGAAGAGGGCACATTGAGGGTGGGAACAAGAAGCAGAAAGGATTAAAACATTTAAGCAGACTGAAGGTAGGACACAGAGGACCAAACAAAACACTTCACTCAATAAACAAACAGCCTACAGGACTGTGTGAGCAGTGCGGAATAGAGGAATCAGTGGAGCTGTTTGTTTTTTACACAGTTTAATGCTTTTCCTTTGGTTATTTCAAACTGAATGTAAGCATTCGGCTACTTCCTAGCTACATTAAAAGGTTCCCCAACTACCCTAAAAGGTTCCCTAACTACCCCTTAAGCCAAGTCAAAGCCTATCAGCTGTGTTTTAAAGAGTTGCAGTCTTGATATGTTACGCTTGCTAATGTCTGAATAAAGTGCATTACAGTAGTTGAGTTTAGAAGAAATACAAATGCATGGATGAATTTTTCTAAGAAGGCAGGAGAAAGGAAGGACCTGATTTAGGTTAATTGTCTCAGTTCAACAAAGCAGCATCACTTTTGACACCCGGGTATCAAAAGAAAGGTCTGAGTCAAAGACAGGTGATGACAGGATAATGCCCTTGGAGGTGTCACTTATTAGGATTTTATGAAGTCTGCACACTGGCCTCTGTTCCTTATGGCGTTCATTACGTTCATGAATTCATAATAACTGACACTTTGAGGGCATTTTCCCTTGTTTTATTTGAAAAAAGAGACCAAGATTTTCACACTATATTTTATTATTATTTTTAAACACAAATCATAAAAAACAGCTGTTAAATAATCACTGTTACATTTTCTATAATAACAAAGAAGATGCATAGTGAATCAGTCGAGTCTGAGGTGGATGAAACGGGCCCGCAAAATATTCCCTTGAACTCAAACCTCAGTCAAAAGGATCTATAGCTTTTGTGTGTCAAAGGTTTAAATATTCGCTGTGGAAAACTCTTAAATGTATGATTCTTTAAATATGACTTTCAGATATCATGAGACATACAGGTGTTTACATAATGAGGCATTGTTGAGCAGTTCTTCCAGTAGAATCCAGACAAAGCTCTGATTTAGTTCTTGTAAAAAAAAAAACTCCTACAGCAGTCAGATGTGATCCTGATCCAGTCTGTGCTCCGCTGCAGTAAGAATAATGTGTGTTTCTCCTCAGCAGCAGTGTGGAGTCCAGCATGTTGGGTCTCAGGCAGACATGGGTTCGTACGTGTGGAAGTGGATTCCCTTTGAGCAGGTGATCTTCATCACCGCTCCGTTCAGAGAGGAGTCCATGATCAGCCTCATCATGCCCTCTGCTATCAATGATGGCCTGAGGACAAACGCACAGAGGATTCATGATAAGATGAGGCACACATACACAACCACATTTTATAATGATCTCATTCAAATTGCAAGCTTGACATACACCTCCAATTGAAAAGAATAGATTCATAACGTCCATTCCACTGGAGTGAAATCAAAACTGGATGCCAGGAAGAAGCTGAGTGTTTCAAGGCCCCTCATTTGTTACTACAATTGTTTGGAGAGACACTAATCAGATCACTAAATCTGACATTTAACCTTAAAAGAACCATTTGTTAGCGCATTAGTTTCCATATGACTTTTAAATGGGTCCATAATTGACTAAATGAACACCATGCTGCATGTATTGAAGAAGACTGGAAACTAGACATTGAGACAATACACTCTTTGTGAAATGATTTACTGAGGAAATAAATTAAGTGAGAAGTAGGCTCATTTCCCAAACACTTATTTTTGCAGCCAGTGCAGCAAATTTAGGGTCAAGTCAAAAGGATCTGACTGCCGAAGAAGAAATATAATCCATTAAATCATGAGCGAACTTACTGTAACACTCCAAACTTGGTCATGCTGCGTTTGAAATCATCCTTGAACTTGACAAATTTTCCCATGTTGTCCTCGTCTTCCACCGAGTGCAGCAGAGGGGTGTCCACGAAGGCGGGACACAGGACGTTGATCCTGACACCGTACTCGCCGTGAGAGGACGCGTCCTGTGAGAACAAAGATTAGCTCCATGCAGTAAATCCTTTATTGTCCTATATTTCAGCTACTCTGCGGATTTGTCTTACCGCCATCGCTCTGGTGAAGCCAATGACTCCATGTTTGGTTGCAGTGTAGACGGGCTGATGAGGAGAATGCAGGAAAGCTGAATTATAAAGAACAAGAGGAGACAGAAAGACAAATATGTTATCAGCAGAAAGACAGTAGAGAAATCAGAGAGCCTGATAAATGACATTTTCTCCTTTTAATCTAAGTTTGGGCTTAGTATGAAAAAGCTGCACAGTAAAGTAAAGTCTAAGTTTACCTGAAAGAGAATTTTGGCATCATTTATTTTGATTTCCAGTAAATAATAATCATGAATGTAGAAATACATTCCTCTGTGTGTGCTATATTGCTCTGTGAGCAGCTTCTGTCTTTGCTTTGTTCTGCTGCGTTTTTTCCTCTGTAAACTCAGCTCAATAAAAAATTGATGAATACTCAGTCAGCTGAAACACTGAAACATCTCCATGTCCATATCATGCTCTGTACTCATATTTAAGGGGAAACGTGTATGCTGTTTGAGGTGTAGTTTCTCTTGCTGAGGTTATATTTTTTTGCTGCAATACCACTGATGGCCACCGGGGTAACCCACCTGCAAAACTCAGCAGTGGAATAGTATGCAAGTGTTAATAAAACATTCATGTCCACATCTGAGAGAGACAGAGAACTTAAGGAATATATTTCTCCAATTCCAAAGAATGATTTTCTTTGTTCCTCTCATCGAGGTGCATTGCACATTTCAGTAAAACGTCGACATGCTTTATATAAAAAAAAACTTCAATCACGTGTTCACTTGACCTCCAATTATACTCCTTTCCCTTTGTTCCTTTGATGCAGCTTCTCAGTAATTTCTGTTTTTTTTTTGAGAGTCCATTCAGCAGTTTTTGGCTATCATTATTTCTGAGTATGGCTAAATTCACAGCAGGCCGATAAGTGCAAGCACATTGTGGATGATGAAATTGACAATTCCGCCCCAGGGATAAGTTTCAGGATTTTGGAAAAGCTGAATTCCTCTTAAATTAAAAAAAAAAAAAAAAAACTTGTCAAAACATCTGTTTCAAGGCTTCATGGGGAAACTTAAATCACAAAGATGAAGAAAAAAAGACAAACCTAGGATTATTGCCTCGTGCTTAAAAGCCTCTGCCAACCCTTTAAACAACAAGCAGCCTTATAGTGCTAAAGTACATTTGTATTTATTCATTCAATTCAGTTCATTAGTAAAGGGACCATGTACGATATTAAGCCAAAATGTTGCTATTTGGTGCATTGAAGAGTTAGCTCAAAGCTAATTTTCAATTGCAGTCTGTTGGCACATACTTTAAATTAAACTTAAATATCACACAAAAAAAACACATGAACCACATTACTAACGACCAAACTTTTCTACTTTGAGTGACAGAGAGCTTGACACAAAGTCTGCAAGTAGCCCCCTAATTTAAAATATGCAACCACAAATTATACCCTCAGTTGCAACTTGCAGTGGAGATTGTTTCATGATATGATTTTTGACATATGATGATGATGAAGTAAAAAAAGAAGGAAAAGAAAACAGAACAAGGCTCAAAACACTTGTGTGATTTGAATCTACAACCAAAAGATAAATAAACACACACGCACACACACACAGAAAACAATATGCTTGGCCGTGTCTGGACAAGTCCTTTTTTGTTATTGGAATGGAAAATACAGAATCACTGCATCCACACACACTGCATACACACGCATACACACACACACACTGCATACACACACATACACACACACACACTGCATACACACGCATACACACACACACACACTGCATACACACACATACACACACACACACACTGCATACACACGCATACACACACACACACTGCATACACACACATACACACACACACACTGCATACACACGCATACACACACACACACACTGCATACACACGCATACACACACACACACACTGCATACACAGACACACACTGCATACACACAGACACACACTGCATACACACGCATACACACACACTGCATACACACGCATATACACACACAGACACACACACTGCATACACACGCATATACACACACAGACACACACACTGCATACACACATACACGCATACACACGCATACACACACACACTGCATACACACGCATATACACACAGACACACACACTGCATACACACGCATACACACACACACTGCATACACACGGATACACACACACAGACACACACACTGCATACACACACACAGACACACACATTGCATACACACACACACTGCATACACACGCATACACACACACACACACACACACACACACACGCATACACACACACACACACTGCATACATACTGCATACACACGCATACACACACACACATTGCATACACACGCATACACACACACACACACACACACACACACACACACATACACACACACACACATACACACTGCATACACACGCATAAACACACAAACATACAGTGATGTTATCAGAAGGTTGAGAACTTTATAATAATCTCCATATGTTTGGTGTTACTAGGAGCTGAACTGTTCCTGATCTGCAAGACGATATGAGGGAGACAGGAGCTCAGACAGTCCTCTGGAATCTAAAACCAAGAACACACAGCTGTGAAAGAAACACTCAGACTAAAATAATAGCCTTCCTGAAAATCCACACAGCTCCAAATTTCCTGCAAACTTAGTGATATATTAGATGATCTATGACTCGGATGCTGACACATCTGGCTGGAGATGTTCTGCCTGATAGGTTTATGGCTGGGTGGCCAATCTTGACAAATGCTTTCTGTTTAAAATGTTCTTTTGTTTTGTGTCTTTTCATGTTGTATAATTATGAATCTTTGTAGTATTTGTCAGAAACTCTGTTAATTGTGCTGCTGCCTGTCTTGAAAAATAGATTAGAAAAAAATATATAATCTTTTAAAATTAATTTTATGCTTTTCATCACAGGTTCTTTCTTACTAGCTTTTACCAAAAGTAATACCATAACATTTAACATTTAAGAGATTTTCTATCTCAACGAGTTTGTTTGTTTTCCTGGTTAAATAAAGGCTACTTTTGTTGTTGATGCAGAAACAAGCTGAAAATAAACTAAGAAAATATATATATCCTGCTTTTTTCGTATGGTACTGTATCAGCAAACGTTCCCATGAGGCGTGTGTACCGCTCTGTCAAGACTAATATTTACAGTCTATGGACTAACCACACTGTTAAAGTGTTGTAAATAGTTTCTCAACAGGTAAAGTGGTTAAATCTGGAACACGGCTCTACCTGAGGCGCTGATACGTTTAGTGTCGTTGACAAGTCATTAATCTGCGAGAGTGAGAGTTGAGAGAACTTCTGCTTTGGCACTTTGACTGGCAATACCAAAAATAGATCAATAACAACATAGCTGCTTATTGGTGCAATTGGTAATGTGACTCTGCAAGAATAATCACCACAGTATAATGAAGAATAATGAAGCTTTGTGTGTCTCCTCAGATTATAGGTTTTGCATACCTGGACTGAAAGTCTTGGCCCAGAAAGACTATGTAAACCAAAAAAAGGCAGGTGTTGTATTTTGAACAGGCATTTTCAACTTGTGTGTGAAAGCAAGAGAGAAGGTGGTGGACAGCAGCGAACATGTTGCAGAGGAAATATTCTGTGTGTAAAAAGGATGAGCTGCTGAAGCTGAAAAAAAATATTTGATTACGATGAAAATTCCAAAACAGGAAACCCTGAAAAAAATGCAAATGAAAAACACTGCACATCACATCAACACTTGAATAAACGTGGCTGCAGTGGAGTGTTTACACACGATGATGACTTTGCATCTTGTCTTGCAGAATGTTTTGGAGAAGAATGGGCTTATTCTTAACAGCAATGGAAGTGACTATCCTGATCCAGTAATTCCTGTTCTAGTTACAGTCTGCCAACTTTTTATGAATGTTTTTTTTTCTTGTGTTTCCAAAAAAACCACACACACTAAAGGATAAGGGGAACTGTTCTCATAAGCTTGAGAAATTGATCTCCTGGGACATTTTGACCTAAATTTACATGCGTCTCTGTATAGATCAATTAGCTATAAATACAGTTTTGAGACATTTACTCAAGAGATGAATAAAAAGCAATGTTCAAGTTTCTCCCTTCTTCTTCCTGTTTTAAGTGCAAAAATAACTGATTTTGTCAATGAGGTTTTGCAGCTTTGAGGAGGACGCTCCTCTTCAACAAAAAGGTACATTTCTGTAAGACACGTTTATGAAATGATGTTGAACCTAAATAAGTACAAATATGACCCTGATTTAAAAATACCAGAAATCTTGTTCAAGTTTAGAGCCTCATAATGTTTTCAATTGTATACGTTAATCATTTTGACATTTGTTGTGTTGAGAAGTTATTGATCATATGTTTTACCTGCCATAGAAGAAACATTAATTATTGTGCCTCCTTCCTTGCCGTACTCTTTACTCATGTGTTCCAGGCCCAGGTAGGTCCCTTTGATAACAGAAGTCTGCAAAGACAAAGATACAACATAGTCACTAAAGTAATGGCCCAAAACTGCAGCAGCACGCAAACAGGAAGTGAAACTGAAAGTAAAGAATGTGTGAAACCACTGATAGGTGAAGAACATCTGCACAGTCAGCTCAAACAAAGAATAATATCTGAAAAAACTTATTTGAAGTCCTGACACAAACAAAAAGGCTTACAAGTGCAACAAGATGTGTAACTAATGCAAAAAAGATATTCATGCAATCAGCACAAAGGTCAGTCAAGATGAAGTATGCTGCCAAAGATGTCCCAGAATTCATAAAGAAAGAGCAAAGAGTGCCAGAGTTTTTGTTAACAGGAATGTCTGGTATTTCAAACCTGGGCCCTACTTCATATTTTAGGGTTTAAATTCCTTAAAAATTCAAGATTTATTTAAAAGACATTTTTTTGGCCTTTGCCTTTGGTAGAAGAGAGAGCGCTAGAGACACAGGACATGTGGGGAGGAAAGAGTGGGAGAAGATATGCACCAAATGGTGCCAGCCAATGAAATTTGTCCTCTAAAAGTTTTTGTTCTTCACATTGACTGTATCTAAAGATGGTCGACTTGTCTCTACCTCCTCCTGTTGTACAAATGAGAATGAGGACAACTACACAATGCATGGTATTAAAGAGAAAAAAAGGTGGAAACCTAAGATAGAGCCCTGAGGGAATGCAGCTGATAACATCTTTTGATGAGGAGGAATTTCCCTTTAGAAAAAATCTCGAAAACCAACCAACCAACCAACAAACAAACAAACAAACAGAGACAGACAAAATCACAACTTGTACATGTTGCATTCAGCACTAACCCACAGTGAAAAGTGTAACTACTACTGTTCTGTTTTTCAGCACCTGGACAACTGTGTAAACTAAAGTGAACTCTGCTTTGTTGAGTCATGGGGTTATGAGCACACTTAAGAGACAGGACATGTTTTTGCACTGCATGAGGCTTAGCATGCCTGCTAGGTTTCTACTCAGCAGGAATGTAGTAGTAAGGGCCTGGGGCTTGGTGGTGTCATGAAGGGCTAAGGGGGAGGTCCCTTCATGTAATGAAGGAGTCTGAGGAAGGGGGGTTGCTCTCGGAATAGCATGAGCTGAGGGTCCTTTAAGGGAGCTGCAACATTAAAGGTCAACAAAAAGTGAACCCACTGCAGCACAAACACTTCAAAAGGTCATAACATTAACCATCAGATTCAAATTATTAAAACACAATTACATTCAACTGAGTGCAATTCATATGACTATATATTCAAGGGGCAATAAAACTGTAAATAAAACACTTTTTGGTTTATTTAGGTGGAAAAGGGGTGTATTATATTATTCACAACGACTACTTTAAAGCCGTATATGCACAGCAAGTTATCTATTTGTTGACTTTCTGAGCTGAAACCCTCACTGCATGCTCCATGTGTTACCTGTGATACAATGCTGATTAGAAATCATGTTATGACTACCTGACTGCTAAGATATTGCATGATTTTATCTTATTTTCATCAAGATGCAACCTCTACCTAGACTCATCAGTTCAAATATGTTTAACTCAATATTTTTTTAGAAATGGACTAGCAATAGGGCATACCACATGGCTTGGTTAAATGTCCACTACTTATTCATCTTCACAACAAGGAATATCATCAACTACAAGCAATCATCTAAATTGTTTTTCTTTTCTTTTTTTTCATCTTGACTTAAAATGCACCTTTCAGCCATGCCCAAAAGTGAAAACTTTTCCTCTGACTCAAATGTTCTCCGAGAACAAGACAACAAATCACTCTTTTTACTTTCTCTGTAAAACACAAAGGACATTGGGTATGCATTAACAATTTATCAGAAGTAACTTTATTTTGAAATGTATTCAAATGAAAACAGTTCATATCTTCATGTTATTTCCTTGGCTATCATTTTGAATAAAGCATATAATAGTCAAACATATCCCTCTACACATGCCATAGGCTATCCTACCTGAGAAACAACATATTCCATTGTCCTATTTTGTGGTGTAAAATTAATCTTACGGAGGTTAATAAAACCTTATATGCAGTAAAAAATATCTTGTTTTGCGGTGAAATCAGTGTTTTAGCAGAAGGTGTAAACACTTGCAAGGAACAACAAGTCACAAACTGTTTAGGAGCTGCACCCCTAAAGATCGGATCCTAAAATCGCCCCTGCTCCCAGGAGTCTTGGGGGGTTCAGATTTCATACAAACTAATTTGTGCAAAAACCCCAGATCACATACACAATGAGCTAAAGATAGATGGTGTTTTCATGATGTACAGTTAAGAATTGACTTATCTGTGATTTATTATTTCTGGCTGTATTAATAAACCTGACTTTAAAAAAAAAAATCTCACCAGGTTGACTTGGATGGTCTTCTCCCAGTTCTTCTCATTGTTGATGCCGGCGTTGTTGATGACGATGTCCAGGCGTCCAAACTTGTCCACTGTTGCCTGGAATGCATCTGTTCAACACAAACACAAAGCCATCATGACATGTCTTAGCACATTGACACAGTGTTTACAGAAAAGAAAATACTTCATTGTCTCAAAATACAGAAATATGTCTTTGACTTGCGTGTGCACATGTACACTATTTAAACAATATCAACATATCTGTGCTAGATTCTTTTTGGTACTCATGAGAAAGACAAAGACCATTTTCAGAGTGGAAAATGTCACGGTTTAGAGAAGCGGAGCTGGAATGGAATTTAATGAGTGTGCACTGAAAGAGAAAGGTGAGAAGCCCATTTCTAAAACAGCCCTAATATCATTCTTTGCTTTTTATGTTCATGATACAGAAGTGTATCTATGACAGGCCCTGATAAAATCACCACTTAATTTGAGCTCTAATCAGTACACCTGTTTTCAAAGTTGAATTCCCGACAATGTCCGCCGGGCATTCAGGGCAATGTTTGAACTAGCACCATCACATTTGTACCACAAAGTTGGAGATTTGATCTGAACTATTGAAAATACTTGGCACCTGGAAAGACCACTCAAGGGTGACAGGACTTGTCAGTATTGATAATAATGTAGATTGAAATCAATACAAAACATAGTTGTTTTGTTATATTAAGGCAGGTACTGTGTTGCTGCAGGAGGATTTGTGTGTGGGGCAGCTGGTCTCTTTAAATCATTTTCCAAGTAGATTACGTAAAGGCATTGGGGGAAGCAGGAGGTTGTAGATGCTTTGACTGATTTTCTGTTTTGTGTTTTATGTCTGTAACTTTGTTGAAATGTGCTGCTGCCTGTCTTGACCAAGACCACTAAATGAGATTCTTAATCTCAACGAGGCTTTTCCGGTTAAATAAACAAAAAGACATCATCAGCAAAAGTTGAGAGGAAGGTGAGACCAGTAAATAACAGTAAACAGACATCAGAGAGAAAGTACAAAGCAGCTATATGTGTAACTTCAGCGCAGCTTGCTCACTCTGTGCATGTTTCATACAGGGCTCTGGCTACTTGTAGTCCATTTAATGTCCAGATCAAATGATTCAGACATTTGTGCTAAAACAAGCTGCTTCCCTGAGTATTGTTTGGAATAGTTCGGGAGTGTAGTGCATGCGTGAAAAGGACAAGCAAAGGTGGTATTTATATTTTTGTGTTTCTTACAATGTTAGTCCACTAAACAGACTACAGCTTGCATATTTGGGGAAAAAATGTCCGTGCTCCCCCAACAATGAGGAGGATCAGTTTCCTGCAGAGTTCAAGCCCATGTGTTTTGTTTCTTTGTGTAAGTTGCCAACTGACTTAAGACATGCTGACAGTTTGTATTCAGTGCAGACGGTGTGACTGAAGGGACAAATGTTGTGCTCCAGGAAGTTGTTTATCTCTGTGTGCGAGCGGTCGGACATAAACAGCAAAAGGGAAAAACCAAGGAGGTAAAACCCACATGTGTCATCACCTGCTGCATTCCTCACCTGGAAACCTGCGATTACAAACACACACATAGCTGCTTTGAGCAGCCTCATCTGCAGGTAATGCACATATTTGCACGTACAGAGATGCCCCCCCCCCCCTTACACACACACACACACACCCACACACACACACACACACACACACTTTCATTGGCACCATGCAGACTAACACTTTGCGTCCACATAAACAGCAGCACTATCACTCAGCTATCACAGCATTCCTAAGCCGTTAGCCTGCAGGGATCTTCAGTGTCTCTTCAGTGTCAGACAATGAGACCTTGTTCCTCTCTCACCATTAGATACACTGACTCACTTATACACACTTTATGTACTTCTTTTTGTCGTTCTCACCTCAACACATACACATCAACACAAACACAACAGCACTGACTGACATGCAGAGAAGAAGAAGAAGGCATGTGAAAAGCAGCACTATAATGGAGGACTGGGCCAAAAAAGTAGCTCATTAGGATTGTCTTTTGGTTATGATCAACTCACTGCTCCTCAGCCCAACCAAAGAGTGTGGAAGAAACACAGGACTTTAATTTGAAAAGGCAAAATTCTGTGTTTTACCATTTGTAATGACCTGTTTGGATTTTTTAGGATATGAGAAGGCCTCTACGTAAAATTCTGCTCCCAGTAGAAACCTTGGGAATGGTGACCTGAAGTAATCCTAGCCTGAAGCCAGGTTAACATCAGTGTTGGTTGTCTGTCAATCCATCCATTTGCCGAAACTGCTTATCCCACTCGGGGTCTGGAGGTGGCTGGAGCTGATCTGTCATTAGCGCCTGGTTTCCTTAGGCTAATGTCATTCTGTAGACACTCTTTAAACTGGCAGGATTATAAAATCATATATCCTGATGAATATAATTATTAAGTATGGAACTGAAAATTTGACTGTATTTACATAAACAGTCATGTCTTTTCGGCCAGATTCAGAGTGACACAGACGCTTTCCAGGAAAAGTTTCAAATGTGTTCCAAAAGTCACCCTTTGTAGGCTTTTTAAAAAGTCACTTCCTCATTTATTACTAGCAAGTATAACATGAGCAGGCCTTTTTTAAACATGCTGTACAAGGCGTTCTGATATTAGGCAGACATCAAACTGACTGATTTAAATCCCTTTGTTTCACTAAAGCAGTTTGTGTGAGTTAGCTGTGTTTTCTGACAGTCTCTTGGACAGGTTTACCTCTCAAAGCGTCTCCATTGGACACATCACAGGGGATAAAGGTGCAGTTTCCCTCTCCAAACTCAGCATCCAGCTGTGCCTTGCATTGTTCTCCGCAGGTCGCGTTTAAGTCGACAACGGCCACCTGAACAAAACAAAAGAAAGTATATTCATACACAGAGACGACAGAGCAAGAGGAAGTCAAGGGTGCAATAATCTGTCATCAATATGTGTAGAAAGTTGATGGAAGGCAATTGCGGTGTACTTTTTACTTCATCTTTCAGACCCCATGTGGTTTGGGTTTATCAGGAAGTGTCTGCGAGCAGCTACATTTATACCACAGTCAGTTTATATAGTGTGAAACAAGTTCTCAGAGATTTCCTTCCTTTTTTGCCTTTCTTACGGTTGATATGTATGTTTCCTTTCTTCTGTTTAACTTCAAGAAATAATGTTGTTTTATATCATATCATTGTTGAAATAGATTATAGGTTACATAGTGTACTTCTACGATTTATCATAGCGATAAAATGTATAAGGGGAAGTCTTAGACGTGGGCCCTATGATTAATGTTTTTTCTTCTTTTTAACATTTAGGGGTCTAATTTCTTTTACAGTATGTAGTAAAACTTTTTGAAATGTTCTGCAGATTGCCTCAGCTGGCAGCTGTGAAACAGGTTTGGCTTGTTCCAGAGCTTTGAGGCTTAAATTGCAAACACTCTGTCAAGCTGAGTTTTCAGCTGTGCCTCAGGAAAACATAAAATACCTTTGCTAAGGACCTAGAGCTGCGTACTGGCTTCCACAGTATGTGACAAGGGCGTCAGATATGTAGTGGGGAGAGGAAAGAATAGTCTTTTATTTTGAAACATGCAGTACTACGAGCCAGTGTAAAGAGGCTAAGATGGTCATAATGTGGTCAATTTTCTTGGCTCTGGTTAAAAGTCTAACATCTGAATTCTGTACAGTCTGGAGCCAATCAACAGATTTTTGTTTGAGGCAGGTGAAGAGGCAGATGGAGGTATGTAATAAGGTCCCTGTGCATTTTAAGGATAAAATCCTACTGCTCCATCCTACTTAGCAATGTTTCTAAGATGATAAAAACAGGACAGCACTGGTTTTGTTGTGTGTTGCTCAAAGCTTAAGTAGCTATCAAACCAAACTCCCAGTCAAGTGTGCTTCGAGTAAAGCTACAGAAAATTGTGTGACATCCAGTTTTTTATATCTTATAGTTATGTCGTGAACTCTGCACGCCAGGATCAGTGTTGTTAACTGGCAGGTAGATCTGACTGTCATCAGCATAGAAGAAGTTAACAGCATGTCTATGGCAAATATTTCCCAGTGTGAATGTACAGAGAAAATAGAATGGGTCCCAAAACTAAGCCCTGAAGGAGACCATACTTTACAGGCGCAAAAGATGACATGTGGTTACCAGTAGCAACAGAGAACCTCCTGTTACACTCCCCATATCTGTTTAATAGGTATGAGGAGAACCACTGTATCATAGCCCCCCAAAATACTCAATCCATCCCAAAACCAGTCATGCAAATTGATGTAAACCACCGTGTCATGTTGACCTCTTTGTTTGAGTAAAGCATACACATTTTGATGTTATGTGACTGTCTGTTTGTATTAACTCTTTTCAATTGTTAATTGTGAAGCACTTTGTGGCATCTGTTCTTGAAATGTGCTATATAAATAAACTTGACTTACTTACATAGTTTAAATCAAAACCTGCTGCTGCAATCAATTTCTTTAAAGCCTTTGGACTCCATTGACATAATTAGATATTATACCTTACAGAAAACGCGAGTTGTTGCCTATAGCTGCTTGGATTGTTTGTGTTAAAGTGTGGAATTTAAATAGTTAGTTTGGATCGGACACAGTATTTGTGTATTGCACAATAAAGCTTAATAATCCATCGGCAGCTATACACCAATATCACTCTGATTCTCTAAGGTAAAAGTTTTCTTTTTGTTAAGGTAGTGTATAGTGGCTTTGAAGACAATGTTAATGTTATGTCTGGCTCTAAAAAAAGGCCCTTACTGAAATAAAATCTGGTGGTGATACTTTCCATAATGTGTTTGTTTAGAAGAAGAATCAGGTATCTTTGTGTGGAGATTTGAAGATTCTAGTAGACTGAGTCCATGCAAGATGAGTAAATAAAACCACAGCAGACAGTTTCGGTCCACTGACAGTCAAAGCACTCAGATCAAAACATGTTCAGCCAAGCCAGTTGTACAAGAGTTATGCAGAGTCAATCAGTTACTTGAACACAAAGCAGGAGAGCTTAAACACTCAACGTTTATATGATATTTCAAAGTGCTAAAGTAACTGTGAAAACAGGGAAAACTTCTTATTGTGAAATGAGAGCAGACTGAGCAGCACTGACCTTAGCTGAGCTCTGTAGGAGTGACTGGACCGCCGCTCTTCCGATACCCTGCGCCCCCCCTGTCACCAGAGCCACCTTCCCACTCAGAGACATGATCCCAGACCAGCTGCAAAACACCCAACACGCGTCCTCCTTCTGTCCCCCTCGCACACTGTGTGTTCCCTCTCTCACTCTTCACTCAGTGTGTCACTCTGTTTTCTTCTGCTCTGTGTACTCATGCACCTATCTGCTCTCTGAAACTCAAGCTTTCTCACCCCTGTGTGTGTTTTCACTCTTTTAGCTGAGCTGTCTTTTCCCTCCCTACTCCCCCCCCCCTTTCTCATAGCTTATCAGTCTATACAAACAAAGAGAGAAAGAGAGAGAGAGTCACACCGACTAAGTAAACTCTGCAGGATAATAATTACAGGTTTTATCCAGCTTGTTGTACCTGCCCTCCTGCCTGCCCTTACTTCCTTTTCATCCCCTCCTCCCTCTTTTTCTGCACTCCTTTGCTCCTCTTCATCTACCCATCCGAGCTCTTCACTTGGTCACTTTAAATAAATACCTAAATATCTTAAAGAAGGCTGGGACAGCTGTTTATAAAGCTGTCAGTCTCACACTCTCCTCTGTACCTTTTTCATGTTGACCGTGTGTCTTCTGTGTAATTGCTGTTACACAACATGCAGCCCTGTTCAGTGATATGTTTCACCCACGGTCAGGTCTCTGCATGTTCACACTGTGCTGAAATGAATGGAAACCAATATCTGCTAACCACTAAACCAGGCATGCAATAATACCTGTTTGCTCCTTTATGTAAACTCAAACCACAGTGGCTTCCAGTAAAATCCGCGCAGTGATCTTTTCCTAAAAAATGTAGAGATGTTTATGTTTATAAATAAATGACTATTTATACACTGCATAGTTGTCCCTCCTCCTCCTCCTCCTCCTCCTCCCTTCCTTCCCTTGCCTTCTTATCTGACATCCTTCCTCCATCCTCGACCAGGAATCTGGAGATGTCACCTTCAGTTCATAAGGTGGACAAATACTTAAAAATGATGCATATTGTGTCGAGCGATGTGCAGAATGATACCGATGAAGACAAAAGCCTGACACTAAAGTTTAAGAAGTGGCAACCAAGTTTATTGCAATACAATATAATCTAAATTAGACAATGTAAAATATGCACATCCTATGTTACAAAAAATTCTATGTGTGCTCTCAACTCAACACGCTTGAGGGGTTTGTCGCATTCTCACTGTTAAATCGAAATCTTCTGTCAACATACAAATATGTAACACGTTATGTGACCTTTAACTCTGACAGAAAACGTAAATGTGTGTGTAATGTGACAATTTGTTCAAAACATGAGTAAAAAAAAGAGAGAAAATGGTTGATAAACAGAATTTGGTCCAGCTACAATATGACTTCTTCCGACGTTCTTGTGACTAATATTCTATATAATTAAGAGAACCAAAACTTCAATAAAACATTCGCTACAAATCCACACACTTTCACCACATTTGTAACACAAAGAAAGTATATGTACAAAGCAAACAAGGCTCAGAGGAATTGTTGAAACCTCATGTGTAAAGAATGTATATTGCAGAAAACAATGATTGAAGTGATTTAGAAATGGTGTCATCACCATAGTTTGTCCAGCAGAGTGAGCGCCAGTCTCATTGTTTACAATCCTCTCAGCACTGTCTGCATCCAGAGCATTAAAGCTGACAGACACTTGTCCACTCTTAAGTTATGTCTTTACTTAAGAAAGCAGCCTTCTGAGTACCTGAATGGTCATATTCAGTATCTGTACTGTTTGTTTCTATTTGTCTGTATTTCCCTAGCCCATGCTAATGTCCTGTTAATGTGTTTGTCTTGATGTGTCATGACTGTGGTTTATGTTTCATGTTCCTCAGAACAGGATGTTTTTAAACTGAGTCATGCCAGTTAAACTGTAACTTAATGTTACTTTTAAACTTTCCTGTATGATAAATGAAATGAAATATTGGTGCAAAATCTAGAAGAGAAGGTCTAGTTGAGTCGCAAAAAGGCTAAATCAGCAGCGTGTCTGTAAAGTGGGATTTTTTGCAGTCTTAACTGGGCAACAGTCTCAGAAATGTCTTACTGATCAGGGTCTTCTACTTAAAAAACTTATTGGGAGAATTGCAGTATAAATCAATGAGGCAACCAATGACCCCAGTGTTTATATGGAAAAGATGACCATTTAATACGTCAGCAAAACATCTTTACCAGAATGAACTGTGAAAACAGCAGAGGTAGCATATCTGCTTCTCTTTCTGACCAGGACAAAAAGAACAGTAAGTCCTTTACAGTTTCATGACTCATATCATCCTGACATTTCAGATTTAAATCTCCTTCTTTCTATATGGAAAGAAAAAAAATCTTTGACTTCAGGGTACATGAGTGTAACTGTCTGTGATGCAGGCATGGACTGGGAATACATAACAGCCCCGGGATTCTGACCCAGCCCAGTCTGATGATCATGATATTATACCACTGATGTTGATTGGATGTTATGTTACAATGTCTCTTCTTTTTTTCAGACTTTTTAATGATGCTGTGGATGTCTTGTGTGAAGCACTTTAAATGGTTTAAATGAGAATTTTTTGGACAAGGTCGCACATCTCGACTGTCGGCCAGTCCGCCCCTTTGTGACAGTTAAAAAATGTGTCTGACCAGAATCCCACAGAATTTTAGTTAAGATTATAAAAAACAAAACACACATTAAACACATAACATATTATGTAGTAGGACTACCAGATCATTTTTCATTTTCACCAGTAGATTGATTTAGCCTACATCTATAAGTTGTGCTGTAACGTTTGCAACCTAATCTTTGCTTTTTTGTAACCATAATCAGCAGTTACATCACTCTCTAAAAAGCCAACAAACATAATCGACAAAAACTGTATTTTTATTGTAAAAAAAGTTATTTTTTTCCTCTGCCTCGATATATTAGTTTGTTCATTTTTGTGTGACTGTGTTTTAAATCTTTCGTCCCGAACAATCCCAGCATTTGTGTAACTCATAAAAAACTGGTTAGCCGACAGTATCACCAACCCTCTAGTTCCACTGCAATGATTCAATGTTATTTTTGTTATTGGAGTCAGGTTGCTTTGAAAAGAGTGATATTACAGCTGTCTGTGTTATAATTAAACCCTTTAACAAAAAGTGATTCTTCTGTCGGGATCTGTTAACAATGTTGTCATACACTTAGTATAACCATGTGGGAGATCGAAACACTTTAGTGGACGTTGTTTGATCTGGAAGTTTTGTCTTCAAGAAATCCCCTGGAGAGCAAGTCCAAATTATTTTCTATCAGTATCAGCCGTCATCAAAACCACAAACTGTGTTATATAGTTTACACTTGTAACCCTAACCCTATATACAGAGCTACACCTGTGTTTGCTCTGTATGTCTGAAGTCCATTCAAGAGAAGTCTGGTGAAGAGATAAAAACAAACAAATCTTATTTGAAAGCAGGGTGAAGCAGAGGAGTGAAACTTGCTTTGGTTGGATTCCTCCTCGCAGTGACATTATGTCTACTTCAAAATGTGTAAATGTAACCATGTAAGTCTTTAGGGTGGGGGGTGGGGGGGAGAGAAACAGAACATCTTTATTAAGGTCTGCTCTATAGTACAACCACTTTCAGCTCTGGGCTAATGTATGGTGTAATTAAAAAGATGATGGTGAAGATGGTCAGTGGATAAACTGCTGTTTTTTGTTCCTCGTTTCATAACTTTGGTCCCTGGCAGACTGTAGAAGAAGTGGACAACACAGGTCTTAAAAGTGAAGTCAATGGACAAGTACTTTAAACCTGAATTTCTTCTAATGGCCAGGGGGGTTAACTCTACTAAATGTGAAACAAAAGTCTATATGAATAAAAGTCTATGAGGGGATGACCCTACATCTCACTGGTCAGTACTCAGTTTCTTAATGACTTTGTACTCTCAGTTCAAAATGTAGACAGCAACTATTTTACTCTGATGCCACGCTCAGGGTGTGAAGCTGAAGTCTGTTATAATGCTGTGATCCGGGTTTGACATTTGTATTAACAAAAGGAATACTTTTTACAAGATTTCAGTACTTCCAACTGATAAGCAACTGTGAGTACAATGGAAAGTACAATTCTGAACATTACGAAATATATTTCAAGGTGAAACAACGTATCCCCAGGTGCTAGCTAACATTTATGTTAAAACTGCACTTTTAACATAAAGAAGCTAACATTATCGTTAGTTATACATGGCCAAAAGTCCAGATTTCAAAGCTCCTGTGGAGAGTTTTAAACTAGTTATGGAATGGACTGAAATAAATACTGATGTCTCTTTATGACCTAAAAAAAGACAATCAACTAGACGATTATTTCTTTGCAGTTATTTCTAATTTGTCCACCAAATGGTTGTGCTGAAGGAATAGCCTTAGTTTACATTTTCACAGCAAAGACTTTTAATGCGTGATTTTGTTTGACATTTAAAAGAAAGCAGGAGAGGATTTCTCATCAGAAAAATAACTCCCACATACAAGATCAGCAAAGAGGTAAGCTTTCTCGACAATGAGCACAAATCAATCAATACAAACAAAAGATCCTGACAGCACCTTTCATTATTTTTTCAGTTCCTGATGGAACTGTGATCAATGATTGGTTGTCCCTATGTTTTTTCCTATCTTAACCTTTTGAAAACCTGGAATCCAGCAGAATTATTATTTTTTCCCCTAAGGAGAGCATCAGAGAAATAAAGACTGGAGATATCATTTTGATCATATTATCAAACAGACACCATCAGAATATGGTGAAAAACAATATGTGAAAGACACATGGTTACCATGGTGATGTGAAAATGCATTGCTCTCTATTTGCTTTTATAATTTCTTTGGGAAGGGGGGGTCCATTTTCTCTAAACGCCTTCTTTCAAATCACCATATCACATTTCCATTAGGTGTGCTGCTATACTATTCTACAAATGACCATTTAGAAATGCATCATCATTTATTTCAGTCCAAAGCTAAATCCCTGATAACCAATTGCAGACGCAAGTTTGTCAGCTAGCTCTGTTGCCCTGGATCAGTGTCCACAGTGCAAAAGGAGACAGTTTTCCAGTCCCTGTGTTTTTTTTTCTGTTACCCAGCTTTGCAGGCAAAAACAGTGTGCATGTTTCAGTGATGTTAAAAGAAAACAGGAATTTAAGTTAGAGCCAAGTGGGTTTCCTTGGAAAGGACAATGCTATTTCCACTGAATTGGGTGTACTCTACTATAGGGTCAAAATGTCATCAACTAATAAAAAATTGGCAGCAGACCTGAACTGACTGTATAAGCACAAAACAAAGTATGCCCAGTTTGTTTCAGGTTACTGATTATTGTCGACTGATATTGGAGTTTCGAGGACATGAGACACTTTCCAGCCATCACACACCACATGTCCCCCTCACATTGACCTTTCACTCCACTCAAGATCTCTCTACTTACACACTGGCAACGTGCAGTGTTAACCGCCACTGGCAATATGCAGTATTATCCGTCTTTTTTTCCTTTGCATAATGAAGTATATTAAGGGGAAATATAGAATTGTGATACTGGTATGAACTTTTTTTCTCGCTTTGTGGTCTTAACAATCTTGGAGAGCAGGACACATTTTCAGGGCTTAGGGTGTGGCCATTTGTTAACCAGAAAGATCTTCGGAAAGACTGTGTTATCATGTACAGTCAGACACCTTGAGAAGGGAGAATGGAGTTGAGTGATGACATCCAAGAGTGGATTGTTGATATGCTGCACTTGCATACAAATGTATTTTTAATAGAGATTTATTCAAGCTAAATACTTATCAAATTGACTTGCATCAAGGCCAAAGCTCTCCACATGGACTGGTTTCCTGCACTTAACAAAAGCCTTCTGGTACGGCAATGGACAAAAAAAACCCCTGAATACTACCAGCAGACACCAGAACAGTTGCAGACAGATCCTGTTTTCATATACAAAATCTGTTTATAGAGATTAAAGTCTAAATGACTCATGGATACAGAGTTTTAGAATTAATCCTGAAGATTGGTGCTGTTGGCAGCTGTGAAGACGCTGTAGTGGGAGCAAAGTTATCCTTCTTTTTTCCAAAGACTTTAGTAGAGTTTATCCACTAATCATTCTTGTCACTGATTGACAGGCTCAGATTGTTATTCCAGTTATTCCAGTATCTGACAACTTTACAGAAAGTTTCCATACACACATATACCTTTTTTGTTACATCCTTTCATCTGAACCCGGAACAGACCTTTGCATGGCCCTCTTTAAAGAAACAGAAAATCTAACTTGCAGAACATACGAGGTGCTTTGTCCCTTCAGTTGGTAAGTTGTTTGTATAAAACATGGGCAGAGTCTCAGTGACATCACCCATTGGTGACTGAAGGGATCCAAAATAACCATTTGAAACACCACAGTCACAAAAAAATCACAAAACACATGAACCTATCAAGGCCGCGGTAGAATCAAAACTCATGTGACCCTATATGATTAAAATGATTTATCAAGTAAGTCTAGTTGCTTTCAAGAGAGCGATGTACCACCTTAGCCTCTCAGCAGGGATCTGTTCAATAATGTGACTGACACCTGAATAGCAATCTGAGCCTGTTAGCCAAAAACAATGTGTAAGTGGTAGTAATGGCTGCATAGGTTAATACTACCCCTTTGGCAGATGTTTGCTAAATTAGTAAACAGGACCAATTCCACAATGGTTTGGACGTACTGGTGATTTACACATCACAACATGTAAAACTGCTCAAGGTGAAAAAACACCAAAGATGCCCCCAAAGTAAATTTTTGAAAAGGATAACAGTAGACAACAGCAACTAATAAAGACTTTGGTTTAAAGTTGATTTGACCTCTGTGTTTGGCTTAAAACTGTTTTCCTCCAAAACTTTTCACCTTCAGACAAACTGAGTTGAGCCTGAATCAGACGAAACCCGTGTGAATGAATGACAGGGTGGACAGAAAAATACCCAAATAGTTGTTGCATTAGTCACAGTGTGAACAGAGAATCAGTATGGAGATTATACAGTCCTCTTTCTCAATGAAGGCTCAAAAACCAGTCATTAGAAAGAGTGGTTTGATGCCAACAGCTGTGTGTGTGTGTGTGTGTGTGTGTGTGTGTCATGAGAAGTTCCAGGTGGGGCTGAAAGTGTTCGAGTCAAAAACACACAACATTTTCAGCTGAGCTGTAAGACACAAGTGGGTAAACTGTGTTATTAATGAAAGTGTTCTCCTGTGGTTCCAAATAGTCCACATTTCTTTGAAGAGTCTTTTCTGTCTCCAGTCTGTGTGACAGTACATCGTCTGCTGCTCTTCATAACTGATCGGAGACTTGATGGCAGTCTTTAATCATGGTGGATTTCTGTTATAAAATTCTTCCATACTTCTTGTCTTCATTTTTTCTTGGGCTTTTTGTTTTCCACTGTATGTAAATGGAAAACTTATCCAATCCTCTTTGTTTCTCAGGATTGTCTTTGTCTCTGTCACAGTGTTTGAAGTCTTGAAAAGTCCCAGATTACAGCGAAGGGAAGGCGAGCACAGTGAGAGGACTACATTTCATCTACAGGGAAATTTATCTGATTAAAAGATCTATGGAACGTAAGATGGGTTTAATGGTGTTTTCAACACAACTACAGAACTTGCTGGTGCTCCTGAAGGGATTTGGTGACTAAATTGAAACAATGCTCTTTTTTGTGTTTTGTCTCTCTACAATTTGGAACCCAAAGATGGTAAAAACTGCTAAACAATCTTCAGCCCATGCTTTCTGACTACCATCGCTTTGGTCTCCTGTCTACAAATAGCAAGTGACATAACCTTATGCTCGGAGAAGTGAAGTGGAAGTATCTTAAACCTTAACATTTTGTGGCCAGCGGGGGATGACTCAACTGGTTACATAAAAAAGTCTGATTGCAGAAAAGAGTATGAGAAAATGAGCTTCTCTGATAAATGAATGTCTTTCTAAAGAGTTCATGGTCTAAATCTCAAGTTTCAAGTCTTTGTCAATACTTCCATGGTTACACCCTCTAATCTAAAAATAGTTACTTCTGGTTCAGTAAAAGTTAAATGGCAAGGGCAAAAATGTCAATATCCAGGTCCCAGTTGTTCAAAAATAAGTTGATCAGGTTAAAGCTATTATCTAGGATCAAATCTTTAAAGCAGCTTCTTCAAAATAAACATAGAATATTATCCTATCAATAAAATCAGGTAATCCAATCATTGTTTGTTCCTGAACAAAACCTCCTCTTTATTTTGACTTAATTAACTGATCCAAAAGCTGTTGTGGTGGGTGATATAATAGATTTTAATGCACCTCAAAATCAATCGTATATTTACTGTGTGACAGTTGTGCCCCACACTCTAATTAGCTTTAGTTTCCCCAGTCACCAACAAATCAATATTTCAGGGTGCTTTATCAGTTTCTACTTCAGCCTTCTTCCATTCTATGTTGAGTCGGATGTGGCATGTCTCTCTTCTTCTCTGTATAAAAAAAAACTCAACAAGTAATAAATGCTGAGGGGGAATTGGTGGCTCTTTGATAATGTTGGGGTTTGGGTCAGCTCAATCTCTGAATTCATTGGCTATCGTTGATGAATATTCCTCTGGGAACAAAAGCTAACTTCCTGTTATTCTGGTGTAGGTAGCAGTTTCTGTTGAATGACTTCTCTTTTCCATGCTGCATTGTTTACAGTCCAATTAGCATCTTGAGAAGCAAGCTTGTATACAGATCAAAGTGAAGTTCAGAGATACCTCTGTCAAAAACACTGTCATTATTGAGTGCTCAGTCATCTGTTTCTGGTCAATCTCAGTCTAACTGTAAAAAAAAAAGGAACCCAGAGGCTTCACTCTGGCTTACTTCAGCTGATTTTCTTGTGATTAACTTGCAGTTTGTCCAAGTAACATCGCGATGCAGATTTGTAAAAAAACAAAAATGCACCTGTCCCTCAAATTTTCAGGAATGCAGTGCATGTGTGAACAGGGCTTTAGACACGTTTTCTGTTTTATCAATCCACTATGTTAATCAATGTTCAACTAATGTTTCTTCTTTCTCTGTGATCTTTTACAGAGCAACCTGCTCATTATTTTATAGATAAAAATATGTGAAAACAAACATCATCTTTCCCGGGTAGAGTTATTAATTTGATGACTTTTGATCCCTTTCTGTGTTTTCCTGTACAAGGTTATTGAGCATCCATCTTTCATCTATGCCTTCAGAAACATGAGGTGAGGGGGGTCCACATGAATGTTCAGGATTAAAGAAGTGTCCTCAAATGAATAGCAGAACAAGAGTGTGTGTGTGTGTGTGTGTGTGTGTGTGTGTGTGTGTGTGTGCACATATTGTATATGAATAAATATTTTTCTTCTCTATCGCTTATGTACATCTTCATGTCGAAGGATCTTATAAAGAACCCAATAGAATATATTGAAGAAGAGAAAGGCGAGAGGGAAGCCGGCCCTCGATACAGTGTCAATCTTTTTGGCTCTGTCAATGAACAACTTCCTCATCTCTTCTGTGCTTTTACCCCCTCCACCTGTTGTCGGTCCAGGTGGATTCTGGGTAGTGTTCGCCGTGGCTCCGGGGGTATTCACCACAGCCACGGTATTGTTGGTGCTGGCCTTCGACTCCTTGCTGTTGCTGGGAGTGGAGGTCACAGCGGCTGTGGAGGTCGGTCTGCTCTCATGTACTTCCCCTTCCTGTTGGGGAGAAAAGGAGGAAGAGGTGGAGGAGGAGGTCAAAGGTCAAACATTAGAAGTGATTCATTATTTTCCCAACATACTACATGTTACCAGTGGAACCTTGAGGCACTAAACTATGGTTTGATTGATCTAATGCTTTATTTATAAACCGTATTGGCTTTTTTAAATTTTATTAAGTTAGAAGTTGATATTTTTGTCATCAAATGTATGCTTGGTTTTAAAGTCTTTCAAAAGGAATATTGCCAGTGTCACACCTTAGACCCCCCCACAACATGTTTTTTGGTTGAAATGACTAAAAAACAAACATTTGAAAATCTTCCAAAACTCTTATCGCTGGGCTGTTATTGCTGCAACTTATTTTTTCAAGGACCAATGCACCTGATCAAAGTACTTCCCCTGAACATTTTCTTAGTGTTTGATAACATTATCAAAATGATATCTCAAAATTTATTTTTGGAGAAGCAGCTGTTAAATGACTCTAAGCCGCCAGACACTACTGAAAATCCGTCATTTTATACCCTAAGAACACAGGAGTTGCTGGTCTACTGCTTCCTCAATGGGTTAGTGTGTTAGTGTTTATTGTTGGTTAGTGTGGATCAAACACATTACTTGTGTAATATCTAGAGACAAAATCTCCCCCTTTCCAATAATGGCACGTTCAGTTGAGTAAAATTACTGTTTTTTGACAATGGAGTCTGGTTGGTTTTGCAAGAGCAATATAACTGCTGCATGAAGTGATTCATTCATTAATCCAAAATATGTGTCATTATATGTCATAACTAAACAATGTATTATTAAGGACCTGGCACCCCTTCGATTGTGAAGGCATCTCATTCTCATTGCAGTGAAGAGGTGACATTACAAAGAAGACCAAATTCTGGAAAACCCAAAAATTAATTTCATTAGGTATCAATAATTTCCTATCTCAAAATAATGAAAATAGCAGGTTGATATACATTTCTTGCTTTTCTCTTGAGGAGTCCAAGTTCCATTTTATAACACTGAAAAAGAAAAAGAAAATGTCTCTTTCCGCATGGTTTATTTGTCAGTTACATTACATAACATAACATTAAATTAGGATAAGGATAAAAGGGGATTCATATTTTTATTTTTATTTATTTGCATTGATATATTCTTTGTCATGTCTATTATAAAGCTTCACGTTGAAGCCTGCTTCATGGATGTAAGAAAACGATGGAGTACAACACAGGTTTAATCATGCAGGTGGAACATGCAGAAATAAATCAAAACATGCACACATATGAACACTATGTGGTTACCCTGTGGTTGTCGGTGTAGATGTTGCTCATAGATCCATACAGAGGGTCTGATGGTTTGAGGCCGATGTCAATGTTAACACGGCGGAGGGAATCAGCTAGCTCCTCTGGATCAACTGCACCTCCACTGTTCTACCGATCGACAGCATGCACACCAGTGATCAACACACAGAAACCAAAAGAAGAACAAACAGCATCCAAAAACAGTGTTGGGGCACCAAAGTCATTCAGTCCACTCGTGTGTTAGCTGTCAGTGCATCTGAGTCATTCAGTTGCCTTTTTTGAACGACTGACAAACCACATGAACTAATGCGAGTTGAAAGTACAAAGGTCAGTGTTCAATCGTTGTCAGGTATTGCTTCTATTGAAAAAAAAACTGCCTTTTCTGTGCTGCTGTGTTGCAGAGCCAGAGGCCTGTACTGAAAGCAGCGTTTGAGGTCAATTTTAGGGTCAACCTGAGTTTTCAGGCTTCAGTGGTGCTTTGCATCAAACGACAGCACATCATCGTGGTCACCTACTTGCCTGTATAAGCTTCTTTTCTTTTAAGATATATACCTTGAATAATCTTTTTTTATTGTATTTCTTACTTTTTCTTTATGTCTACCTGACCTATCTGGGGTTGCAGCTGAAAAAACATGTCTTAAAAATGCCATATATATAATAAGAATAAATCAGAGCAACATACCTAATGAATGGAATATAAAAATATAACTTAGTAACATCTACTTGCTCTCTTAATTTTAGGAAGTGATAGTTGAGCTTCATCTGTCAGTCTTTCCTTTGGCAGTAACAGCTGGTGTTTCACTTCTTCAAATCTGTCTCATGTTTTATTTTTATCTATGCAACATGCCACTGCACTGATAGTACACTTGTTCATATGCTGTAGGTATAACCTCCCCTGTACACATTATTATCTACTAAAAGGCTTCACTCTTCATGGTTGCATCTGTTTTATATTTCATGCTGAACAAATATGCTTACCTCCAATCCAATCTAATTCAAGTTGGAGATCTAATGGCAATCCAGCTAACATCCTTATATAACATCTTAATAATTCAAACTGCAGCTCTATCTACTGTTATTGCACCTTTGACAAGTTGGCAAATCAACTTTCTCTGCATCGAGACGATCGAGACATATTAAAGGAGGAATATGCGACTTTTTGATCCAGTAGATGTCGCCCTTGAGAACCAGCATGAAACCAAAACAAACTTCTGTTTGGCCACACCTCCTCCATCCTGAAGCCTCCGCTCTCCTCCAGCGCAAACCTCCAACCCCTCCCCACTCGCACACAAAGGAGTTATCAGTTAGAACGCACCATATTTAAGCACCATTAAGGGCAAGCAGCGGACAAAATTGTTGGAGCTGCAATTGCCCGTGGCCTGCATTGTTGTTGTTTTAGCAGGCTAATGCTAGCACACTTTGGTTAACTCATAGCTTCATATTGCACATAAATTGACACAGAATGACCGAGCTCTAAACACACTTATGTAACATCCAAATAAGCAGTGACTATGTTATTCTTCTTTTCTCAAGTCCTTGACTAAAACAGCTTTATACACAAGGTCGTCCCATCGATGTAAACATGATGTAAACACAGCTCGGACAACAGTACAGCTGGCGAGACTTGTGCTTCTCACTCATTGTAGACAGTCATGACTCAGAGAGGATATACTCTATTTTAAATATATTTATGTGTAAAATGTCACAAATTTTGCCTTTGAGAAAAAGAAAAGGTTTTCTAGCACGTTGAGATTTGTTTCAAAGGAAAAGTGTGTCACAATCATTAGTTTTATTATTACTGACATAATGTTTTGACTGGTTTTAATTATCAGATCTTACATTATGGAATAAAGACAGCTTAGGTAAAATAAAATCTGGAATAAATTGTTGTTGCCTTAAGGGATCAGTGAATTATATTTCTATTGGATTTTTCCCCCCTCTGTAAATTATTTCATTGAGGTCTGACCATTGAAACATGAATCGTATTTTACTGTTCCGGTCCTTTCAACCAGTTGTTATTGTTTTTATTGAAACAGATAAATATGGTTTTAGTGAGTCGACTGAATGCTTCCCCCAACCCACAGAGATCCTAATCATGCACTGACAACAGGCTCATCCTCTGTTTGGATGGTGTCAGAGAAACAACACATCAGTGAAGTAAAGAATCATAAAAGCACTGTGATGAAGGTACAGCCATGCTGCTTCATGCACTCATTCAGCAAGTGCCATGTGGAGTTCAGGAAATCAAACATGCACAACCGTCATATCTACCATTATACGTTAGGAAGGGTGTTGTTTTCAACATTACACTCATTTTTAGTTCCCCTTTCACCACTTCTTTCTTTCTCATCTAACGACATTGATTTGATTAAAACCCTGCATTAACAACATTTGTCCACAAGGTGGCTGCCTCAAATAAGCTGAGAGAACACAAACGAAGTGTATCAGTCTCAGTGAATATTTGTAGGTCTGTATGCCTCTATAGCATGTTTGTTCTGTTGTAAGGAAAAAACAGGAAAATAATTGTATCGTTTTACTTTAAATAGTGTGTATAAGTCTTAACAGGGTTTTCATTGGCTCAGTCCAAAGAAAGTTTACAGTTTGTTTATTCAATGTCAGGGTACTCATGACTTTCCAAATCTTCATTTACATTCCAAAGTATTTACCCTTTTTTGATCTTAATGCTTAAAAAGACACTCTGACTGGTTTCTCTGTAGTTGTAGAGAACAGAAGTCTAAATGAGGTCATGTAAGAACTTCATCAAAGCAGGGTTTCCTTTTTTCTGTCACTCCATTTTTTCAAAAGCTTCATAACTTGTCTGTCAGTCAGACAGCATAGAGTGCGAGGTGGAGAGAGAAAACAAGCTCAGCAACATGTGAAGTGTGTTCATTTTTCTGCTTCTCTAAAGTTGATTTTACAAAGTGATACTTTAAAATGTATTTAAAGTAATCTCTGTATCTGTTACATTAAGCTAGCTGTCAAGCTCCAGTCTGAGTTACATGATCAAGCAAGCTAGCATGTTTCCAATTCTCTAAACACTGTCAGGGCCGTCGACCCTTGACTGTCAATCCTGGTGTTAAAGCAGAATATCAGAGTGTCTCAGAATACACCTCGGCTATATAATGAAGGATAGTTTGATCGCTCTCTGGCATAAAAGATGAAAAGGAATAGCTTGCAGTCCTCGTGTGGCATCTAAAGCACTTCATTATATATTAGTATGTGAATCCAATTTCACGCTCCTTTTTTACTTTATGTTACATGTGAATTTTAAATGAATCTATTTTATTTTAATGTCGGGTTTAAAGAGGTTTAAGTCATGTATAAAACATGTGAAGCAAGGAGGAGGAAGTTCAAAGCTCCTGTGAGAAACTTCTGTTTTATCATTCCTGATCAGACTGTATGATGTACTGTGATGATTCATGGTAGAGTGTGTGTTTGTTGTTGTGGGATATTTCCGTACCTTGCTCTTGCTCTTGTGTGCTCGTCTGAATCGCAGCAGCTCCTTGTGTTGCCTCGACACAAAGTTGACAGCGGCGTACTCCAGCAGCGCAGAGAAGACGAAGAGAAGACACACTGCCATCCAAATGTCTATAGCCTTCACATAAGACACCTGTTAACACACACACACACACACACACACACACACACACACACACACACACACACACACACACACACACACACACACACACACACACAAAATGTGTCAATCTGAAGCCTGTCAATTGATCTGTAACAAGATTTTCCTACAACCTTAGATATGGGGGGGGTGTAACACACACAGACACATAAAGGGTTTTGCGCATGATGCTGTATTGTCAAAATGATGTTTCCTGCTTGCTTCATGAAATTATGACTCATTCAGACATCTGTAACATACTGGAGTGCAAAGTTCTGTTGTGCACCAGAAACATGAGAACCCTCCTAACATCTAAACACACAGCGCACACACAAAGCCTCAGTAATTCATTGAGTGTGTGTGTGTGTGTGTGCAGCATGTGAGAAAGGGATGGGTGTACTAATAAGGGTTATATAAGTGCTCCATGTCTGATTTTTCCTCATGCATACAAGATACCAGAACAAGACCAAGGGGCTCTCTCTCCCTCTCTCTCTCCTCACTCGCGCTTGAGTTGATGCATGATGTGAGTAATCAACACACACTTTGGCCGCCCATGCAAAATATCCACCAATGAAAACAGAGGAAAAAAAAGAGAGGCATCTCAGGTCTCCAGAGAGGGGAGAGGGAATACATTAACATTGCCGCACACCTACACACACGCACACACATACTTTCTGAACACCTCACTTACCTTTATACCATATGTGGCCATAGAGTGTGTCCTCCTAAATATATAACTATGTTTATATATGCTGTAGTTAACACCCTTTGAAACAGATGGACACATTCTGTCTGCTCCTCTGTGTCCTTATTTAATGTGCAGATTCACTAAAATGTACACCAAAGGCTGGTTGAATACTATATTCTGAGTCCTTAATATAATCTGATGTTAACAATTTATTCTAATTCTTAACAAGCTAACATCATATTACAATGACGGAGGACTTAAACACCTCCTTCAAACAGTTTGGAAAATAATGACTCTACCCATCAAGTTAATGATACTGTAGGTCTCACAAACAATAATCTAATAATCTGACATTGAAGTCCTAATGGTGCTCAGTCTGTAGGGCCTCGGGTTCAAGTCCCTGTGCGGAACAAGTCTGGTAGCTGGATAGGTGCCAGTTGTCTCTGTCTTCATAACAGAGTGTAAAATGTAATTTCCCCTCTCAGGAGTATATCTTCTTATCTTCTTCATCATATCAATCATCCATTTATCCAAATCACAAAATGTTGTTTTCAAATGCCTGAGCAAGCATTTGCAACGAGGCAGTAAAAACTTCCTAACAACCATCTGCTGGGAGGGGCCTGGCCAAGAAACAAATAACCAACCAACAATGGTACATGGACTGCAGTTCTATGATGCTTTTTCTAGTCTTCTAACCACTCAAAGCACTTCTACACTACATGTAACAATCACCCATTCACACACATTCACAACTAGATAGCAGACGATGCTATGTCATTTGACAATCAGCACTGATCACATTTACCCACATATGAAGGAGCAGCTTGGGGTTTCCGTGTCTTAACCAATGACATTTCCTTTGAACTCTACATGGACTACAGGAGTTTGGATTGAACTCGCAAAACTGCACAATGAGAGGTGGCCTCTACCACTGATCCACAGCCATCCCAATTATAAACAAGACCATCAGACATTGTTACTACAGCTGGAGCTTCCACTCTTTCCTAACAGTACCTCATACACACACAGGGATATATATCTGTTTGCTGTTTTTATCCGGTATCTGTGTAAGTAGCGTATTCTGAATAAAACATCATCTTTGTTTATTTTGACTGTCTGACCCGCAACGCACAATGAATCTTTGGCTGTTCATGCAGTGTGATGTTAATCCTCACCTCTACTGACACCGACCTTGTGGCAGGTTCAACAGGCAAGAGAAATTATTTACATCTAAATAAAACTCTTCAAGTCTTCAAGAGAGAAAATTCAGTTTCTCACAAGTTTGGAGTGTGACGTCAACAGATTATTCACTTTATATGTGTTTGGATTTATCCTGCTCTTCAGAGTATCCCTGCAGACACTGTGTGAGACGTTTGGCCAGAGGAAGATCACAGGTCTCACAAATACAGACAGACAACCATTCAGCATCAAGCTCACACCTGTGGGCAAGTTACACTCTCTAATTCTCCTAATCTGCATGTGTTAGGCCTGTGGGCACCTTCAGCAGCACACGCACGCACACATGCACTCACACACACACACACACACAGGCAAAAAAAAAAGACCTTCGGCAGCGACGTCCTGGATCCTGAGCTCTGTGTTGTCATGGTTAGCACAGTGGTGATGCCCAGTGCCACTCTGGCCGGAGCGGCGTCCATGTTGATCCAGAAGGAGACCCAGGACAGGATGACAATGAGCAGAGAGGGGATGTACATCTGGATCAGGTAGTAACCCATCTGACGCTCCAGGTGGAACTGCACCTCAATGCAAGTGAATTTACCTGCAACAGAGTAGAGAACAGCTTAAATAACACTTGCGAGGATAGGGCACAGTTATGATCACCTGACACATTTGAGCTGGATTTAATCTGGATTTTAAAAATGTTTGATGCAGTCATTCAATTTTTGCTAATCTTACAAAAAAATCCCTTTAATAATGTAGTGTTGATGTCACAGACTGGGGTGAGGCTTAAATAATTTGGTCTCAACAACAATATGTAAAAGAAAGATTTTTTTTAAAATAAATCTTAAAGACAATCAAACCCCTAAGTGTTTTTTGCATGTTAATTTGGCATATATTTCTAATGTATCCCCCTGAATATTTGACAACCCACACAGTTTGCCTCATATTTTTTGACAGGTAACTAAACTCTGTGCGCAGGCTAGAAAAGAAGCAGTTAGAATGACTAAAATAGAAACTGATAGTCATAAACCTTCTTCACAGATTTAAGATACACACTGTCATGACCTGATTTTGCTTTCTGTTCAGAGTTCATGGCCTTCATTAGAGTGTTCCTGTGGGCCCAGCCTTGATGTTTCTGTGCAAATGAAACTTTAAAAAAAGATTTTCTTTAATTGTGGGGAGACTAGATCCCATTTTATGGATAATATAATTGCATCCCTCTCTGATGCTATGCCTGATCTCTCTGTGATTACATGAGCTTCCTGATGGATGGATTGATAATTTGCTCTGAGCCAGTTTTATCTTATGAAGCACAGAGAAAGTCTGAACCAGCAGGAAACATGGGTTTTTAAGTCCAGGTGGGACAATGAAGGAAATATATGCTGGGAACACAAGAAATGTGCACCAGAACTGGGCCGGGGTTCGGTCTCTGAGCAAGTCTGTGAGTGTCAAAAAGTTTGAGGAGATGTTCAGAAAGTTTTTATGAAATTAAATGTGCCCATTAAAACAAAGATTTTGCAGAGGTATAGGGCCCAATTTTGAACGCGTAAGTTATGTTGCCTCAAGCATGTGTGGCATATAGTGATTTGGGGTGTGTCCGGATACATTTTGCTAGTTACACGGCGCATAATCTGGGCGCAGAGTGAAAATAGGTTAGATAAGTCATGTGATTATTCACAGATGTATTTTTTTGCATTTACATGAATCAAACCGATCAGACTGTCATCTCTTATTCCCTTTTCAAGCAAGGTGCACCTGCAGGCTGGCACGTTGGTATTTACGAGGCAGATTTCAGTCTAAATTCTTAAATAGATCAAACTCCAGCAGACTCAGTTAACTTCATTGTGCCCCTGAACACACACACATAATGCACACAGGACACTGTTTGAAATATGTTGAGGGTGGACTGAAGTTAAATTTCGTTCAAGCATTCAGAAACGATCAGACAGACACGGAGAACATTTCTGCATGAGACACAAAAGCGTATGTTCATTAATTATTCAAATCTCCAGACACGCCAACAGGATCTGTTTTCTCTGCAGGGATCCTCGGCTACATTCTCTAATGCCGTGTATAAAGAACACTGGACATTTTGTATTTATATATGTGGGCTATATTGTTGGACGGCACTCATAGTTAAGTATCAGATTCATTATAAACCTAACTCATGGGAGCATGTGAGTGTGTGCTTCTGTGTGTGTTTCTGCGTGCATAAGATACAACGTGCATCGGAGCGAGCGAGCACTGAGAGCTTGGAAACAAACGGAAATCTTTGTTTCTGTCTCTGTTTCCAGCCCTCTATTCCATTACAAGTTTCATTTGAATGTATCAGCAGATGCACTGATATTATACTGTGCAGTAGGTGCGCTGTTGTGCATGCTGTGTGTTTGGATTAAGCTCAGTGGATGTGCGTTGTGAACTCAATGATGAGCCGGCGACCCTCTAGTTCCAAACCAAAGTCCCTACAGACCGAGCTACTGCCACCCCAAATAAAAAGGAGAGCGCACAGGCAGTCCCCCACAACCACAAATGAAGCAGTCGAGATTCCCACAATTGGGGAATTTGCAAAAGCCCCCGTGTTCACCTAGTATTTTTTTTTCAATTGTTTCCAATGAGTAGAGAGCGTTCCCAGCAGAAAGCGGCCGCCTGGAGGAAACTTTTCAGCTTTTCAGAAAGGCGCTGTTGACGTCACCAGCGCTCTTTTCCAAATGTATGATATTCCCCGTATTGTTGCCACCTACAGCTAGTGTCTTGTACCCACACCCTCTTTGCTCCGTGTCTGATCCAGTAAATAACAATCTCAAATATAAAACATAAAGTAAAAAGTAACAGAGCCATACAACGTCATACAACAACAATATGTTTTGTTGATGGATGGTGAACTATATGTATATAACTAGAAATGAAACACAAAAGCTAAAACTCAAATCTGTGTTTTTTAGACGAGGGCTGCTTTATTTGTAAAACACATTTCCCACACTGTGGCAATTCAAGGTGCTTTACAGAATAAGAAAGTGCTCAACAGAGTTTTAAACTATTTTAGTCTCATAAGATGAACCTCCCAGCTTTGTTATTGGAATTTGTTCTGTGTTTTTTTGTTGTTTAAATAAATAAGCAGCAGTGAGTTGACTTAACTTGGGGTCAGCTCATTATGTCGCCTAAAATCTATAAATATCTGTCATGCTGTCCTCCTCAGAGCCTCCAGAATCATCGGATGTCCCCCTCCCCCACACTGCACCGCTCCAGGTCAAAACACATCATCCATGTTTGTCTACAGTCTGAGTTCAAATGGTTTTTAATGAAAGGACAACATCAGTCTGCATGTCCTTCTGTTTGCTTCTCTTCTGCAGTGTGTGTTTTGTTTTTCATGACTTGATCCCAAAAGCACAAAGGTGATGGATGAAATGTGGCAGTCTTTTCATCCTGTGTGTGTGTGTTACCTGTGTTTTGATGCTTACGGCATGTGTGTGTGTGTGTGTGTGTGTGTGTGTGTGTGTGTGTGTGTGCCCCTGTGTGTTACCTGTGTTGTAGTGCTTGGTGCAGTAGATGAGGTCTAATTCATCTTTGAGGATGAACTGAGGGAGCGTGAGGCCTTCAGCCACTTGGACTGGTCCGTTCGCCTGCCACTCGAAGATCAGGTCGTTCATTGTGTAACCGACTGAAAAAGAAGGACAAAGCAACAATCAGCAATTCATAAAACATGATCCAACATTGTCATAATAGAGTAAAAATCAGTAACGTGGTGGAAATGTTTAGCAGAAGCTTCATGGCTCCTTGAGAATTTGAGTTACGGTCGATTACTTTACTTTATCTTGCAGCAAAATGTCAGAACTTCAGTATGAGAGTTTTCAGCCTTAGACCAGATCTCAGCCTGTTAGTTTCAACGTCATCTGTCAAAAATCTCTAGGTAGCGAAAGCACTCAATCCCCCAGTCAGATTACTTGAAATTCAGACACTTTTGACATCCCATTATCCATTATTTATTAAAAAAACAACAACATTATTTTAAAGATACAATATGTATAATTTCACACGAAAATATCTAAATTAATTATGAATTGATTAAACCTATGTTATTTATTTTTTGTTGTTGAATACTTACATTAATTCATATACCAACAGTTATCAAAGCCAGAGAAATCCTTTATTCTATCATTTTAGCAGGACATGTCTTGTGGCGGGGGCCACCATGACAGATGGACATGTTTATATTTGCCATGGAAACACAGAATGTTAAGTCAAAGACCGCTACATAAGGAAGAGGGAACTGCTTCTGAAAGCTGCTGCGATAAAATGTAATATAAATTATATTTGGATACATAGCTTGTCAATAAACATATTATTTTCCTCACGTGTGTTTAACCCGTTCATCTGGACTTCAGTCAACTAAGAGACATAACTGCAGATTGTGTTCCCCCTTCTTGCTCTCCACATGAATTGTTACGATATGTTGCTCTTCTGAAGACAAACCAGAACTATTCTGACACTAACCCCTGAGCCTACAGATCCAGTCTTGAAGATATGATCACTTTGACAATAAAACAATAGTTCTTTATATTTATTTTTAAAGTGCAAATATTTTTTTTAACAAATGTATTGAGAAAACATCTGATGGAAGCTGTATTTAAATTCATGCAGTCAGTTCACTGAGGGCCTTTTGGGCAAAAGCAGAGAGCAGCTGGTTTATGCTGGTCCAAGCCTTCAGCCATACACAAAATATTTAGTTCATGTTTCCTCTTAAGGTTCAGCAAGCATGTGAAAGCGAATGCATGTTGGGGAAAAAAATAAAAAATAGGAAACAAGACACAGTGCCCTCAGCCTTCCACATGAAACGCCCAAGCTTTAGTGCCTCACTCTGGATGTATTTTAAATCTCACACTCGCCCCTGGTGGTAACAGTGTCTCCAATTGTCAACTCAACAGCACTTACAAGTTCTACTTGTCACACCAACTGCATCAAGTCTAAACACCCGTTTTTCCATTTCAATAACTCTGCTCTGAATCATAACATCATATCATTGTTTCAAATGAGATTACCTGAGCAGGGACAAACTGCACGTCATGTAACCATCCTATTCAATCTAATACTACACATTAGATCTATATGTAATGAGAAATGGGACTGCAGTTTTTTTTCTGCATCATATCATGACTGTGATTGTCTCCTCTCATCCTCTCTCTCGTGTGCGTGTTCTGTGTCCTGTGTTCCTGCTGTATGACATCTGAGGCAGCAGCAATAAAAATAATCATTTATATTTAGAGAAATAAAAAAGAGCTGGATCTATGTATAGTAATGCCTCTAGTCAGTAGCTAAGCAGAATAAAAGCTTTTAATGAAGACAAATAATCTGTTGTGTGTTCCCTTTGGCCAGGCAGGCTGAACTCTCTTTAGAGAGAGGATGAATTAGTCATCATATATCAGCATTATTCAACAGGACTTTATTTATTCTTACAAAAATCTGTTGAGACATACAATATCTATCTATCTATCCATCCATCCATCTTTGCTATTTTTGAGGATCTACATTAGTTAGATCTACTTTATAGATTCAGATTCTACATTGTTTGGCATTTGTTTCTCATGATTTAATGTTTCAGTGAATCTTACTCCTCAAATCTGTACAGTCTCCAGGTTTTGAAAGTTTTGTAAATTAGGCTCTAGCTAGTTTTGTTTTTAACATTAGTTTTAAAAAAAATGTTTTGCAAACAACAATTCCAAGTCAGATTGCAAGCTGCTGTTGTCTCCATTTATTTAAACAAATTGTAACATTATGACATCACTGATGAATGTATATTCTCATGACGTGAAAGTCTGAGCTCCATCCTGCAAAGAAAAGGTATTTCTATCAGTTTCTTACTGTAGTTTTTATTTTACATTGATTTAAGGATCATATAAAAAGTGTTCATAATATGATAATAAGTGTAAACACCACACTCCTAGGAGTTACAGTATCTCAGTTCACTCCACATCCCCTCATCCGTATTCCCATTGTTCTCTGTGAATGTATCTCTGTAGCTCCTGTGTGCAAAGGTGGCGTTACGTGTTGTATGAATCCATGCAGCATGCTCACACTCAGTGGTGTGTGCAGCGTAAGTCCCTGTGGGTGCAGAGACACTTCAGAGATGTATGGAATTACTGATGGCACGAACAAGAGGAGCCACTGCAATTATGATGAATAATAAACTGAGCAGGAGGTTGCATGAGTGCCGGAGCGCAGGCTGAGCCATGTTAACTTATTAATCAACAATGTGTGACTAACATTGTTCATTTGCAGGACACACGAGGAGTTTTATTTCCTGAGCTGTTTAATTATGAGTGCTGCTCAAAGGCTGCAGCTGCAATAAAACCCTGCCATAGACTCTGACAGTGAGCGGTAAAAGCTATGAGTGTGCTATGATGAATAATATGATGAATAATGAAGCAGAGGAGAAGGAGGAGGAGGCAATGACAGCGAGGAAAGAAATCAGAAAAAAACAATGACAAAAGCCTGTGGATATACAGTATGAGACACTAAAGTGTAACCCACTGCCTTATTCCGAGTTTCAAGGTTTCATTTTCTGTATTTTTGTTGTTGCTTTGAGGTAATAAACTTAATATTTGCGGCTGTGTTAGTCAGATTAGTTCGTTTTTAGAAGGTTTATCCACTCCATAGCCTCTTAAATCTCTCCACAGGCTCTGCAGAATTCAAAGTGTATGCTGACTGTAAGAATGCTGCCTTCAAGTTCAAACTCAGGACACAAACACCTCATGTAAAGTAAACTCTGCAGACAAGGCTTTACATCTGAAACAAATACAAATAATTTGAAGCAGAAGGAAAGAGATTGCATTGAACTACCTGTTCAAATTCACAGCTCGACATTTATCACTCCATTTCCGAGACACCTTATCTCTTTCTCGACAGGGCTGGAGCAGATTCTATGCAGCTGTCATTGGGTGAGAGGCAAGGTACACTCTGGAAAGATTGCCAGCTGATCACTCATGGAAAATATAGTGTCACCAACTAACCTAATGAGTAGGCCTGCAGGAGATGAGTAAAATATGTGATGTGCAGGAATATTGTTCAATGTTGTGATAATGATATGGAGAGTGAGAAACACAGAGAGTTACTCTGCTGTACTTCATGTTTAACAAAGGGCCAGTGATTTCAACATGTCCCTCTTGCATTATAAATAAATCCATAAAATACAGTAATCTATTTCACCAGCTAATCTGAGAATACTTGATAGCTAGCTTTGGCTTCATCTGACTGCATCCAAATGTGGGAAGCATGGTCAGAGTGAGAAAGCATTGCTGGTTTATATTAAATAGTTTTTCATAAATTAAAGATATTTATAGTTTAACTCAGGGAGTGCCATTGCAATGTTGTTGTATTGTGTGTTTCACACCACAATAATGGAAACAAAGCTCTGTATTTGTTTTAGTATCATTCCTGCTGTTAAATTCGGATTTAGAATTGTATTCATTAAAAATGCTCTAATCATGAGAATGTTAAAATTGTGATTCATTGCAAAGTCACAAAAACGAGTATGTCTTTTGACTGTGGTAGGAAGCCAGAGTACCTGGAGAGAACCCATACTTCTATTAGTCCACAAAGGTCCCTGTTTGTCTGTCTGGGTTTTTGAACCAGAAATCTTCTTGCTGTGAGGTAACAGCACCTTCTACTAAATCACCTTGCGCAACCGAACATTGAAATACACTTCTTGTAGTCCAGTGAGTTCTCTAAATATACACTTAACAGCCTTTTTACAGAAATGTATCCACAGTGCTGCAACCAATCCATCCATAACTACACCTTCAGAGTGTTACACTGAACCACACAACACTAGATTGCTGTCCCAGTGACGTTGCAGCAGAAAAGAGGTGTGATGTGCAAACTAGCAGTAGACTCACACATATAGCTGTTTCTTCCAGCCAGCTCCTGCATTACTAAGAAAGCCATTTGGTAGGGCTGGCCAATTGATTTAGTTTCAATTTCAATTACAATTTTGGCTTCCAATGATCATGAAAACAAGATCATGGAGATTAAACAAAGATACATACATTGGCCAATGTGTCAGAATAATTCCATGTGGAATGGGTAATGTAAATGACCTGAATATTCATGAATTCATCCATTTATTTATTCATTTATCATTATTATTATTATTATTATTATTAGTATGATTTAAGTTAAGAGTTTTTAATAAGGTCGACTAATGCTTGCCATGCAGATGTTGTAAACTCAGTGAGTAAACATTGTTAATAAATTGTGATGTAAATATCAATCAAAATAATTGTGATTAGGATTATTCCATCATCAAGCAGTCGTACCATTTTGCCTCGTTACTTCTCTGTTACATCCTCTGTTTTTAGTTCAATAGAACACGACTTCTGACTTCCTCACATCACTCAGCCTGCTTGTCTTTTACACAGATGGGGAGGTGTAACAGAGACACAACAGTCTCATCTTGAACTGGTTGTATTAAAGAGCCCATATTATGCCCTTTTTGGGGTTCGTATATTTAATCTATATACCTACTTTTGTACGTTCACAATAGATAAAGTCTGAAAAAAGTGTCTGTTTTCATGTACTGCTCCTCCTTGCTCCCTCTGTCAGTCCGTCAGCTACACTCTGCTGAGCCCACACTGTTAGACCCCACGTGTGCCAAGTCTGCTCTGATTGGTCTGCCGATCCGCTCTGTCGTTATTGGTCAGTTGCTCAGCACGCGTCTTGGAAATTTCAACATGAGCTGCTGGGCTTGCCACAACGAGCCAATGGGCTTAGATCAGTGATCTCACACTGACAATGACGCTGCACTGACAAATCTTTATCGAGGGGGGCTAGAACCGAGCGTTACATGCAGCTAATGCTACAGCTAACAGGAGGACATAGGAGAAGCTGCGTTTCTGCGGACTTTGAATTTTTGCACATAGATGTGCCTAAACATGCACAGGACACTTGGAAAACACACTAAAGGGCATATAAAACCAGAAAAAGCACAATATGGGACCTTTAAAGGGTTACTGGTTAAAAAAAAAACATCAGTAAGAATACCCAGAATGATGGAGTATAAAAAACAACATAGGTTTGCTTGAAGAATGTGATGATGAAAGAAGGTGTAATTTAAACAGTAAAAACAGCATTTTGACCGTGAAAGAAAGAAGCTGGCCTTCTGACTTACTCTGCAAGATGTGCAGATGATATTTGAACCCCCTTAACAAAGGGTGGGTGGGTATACTCTGTACATCGTGTCCATTTCCCATCTCATCTTAATGGCTTCTTTATTTTTCCACGATTGCAGGAAGCGGTCCGTTATGTTACACTTGTGTTGGTTTAAAAATGCTGTAGATACAGTAATATGTAAAAGTTTCAAAGTGATGCCTCAGACTTGTACATCTGTCTTTGTGAGTATTTTTAGAACTAGAGAAGACACTTTTGATCTTCCTCAATTTTTGTCGGAACTTCAAGGGCCTGTTTGAAGGTTTATATCTCCAAACAGGCCTTCTCTGTGTGAGGTTAGAAGGAGGTCAAGATACACGGGGTATAGATGCAGGTTAGTCGTCTAGGTGTGCCGGATATATTTATTGTGAGGTTCTGGGGAATGCATTATACGTCTATAAGACACAATTCAATTCAATGTATGAATGTAGAGCTGCAATTCAAACGTGTGTGTGTTTGTGTGTTTATTGTGTACTCACAGCTCTCCAGCTGCATGATACAGGTCTGGACATCCATGGGGAAGTTTTTTAAATCCATGGGACATGACAGAGTTAATGTTAGCCTGAAAGTAAAGGGGAAGAAGAGAACAAGTGAGAGGTGATTCAGAGATGGACAACCAAATAAGTCATACAAATGCTTTTATCTTTGCTGATTTCATATTAATGCGACACTAAGTGCTTCATCTTTGTAGCTGCAAACAGAAGCACAGCATTTCTGCATGATCTCCCTCGGTGCTCTTGCACAAGAAATAAAACACAGAAATATAATTATCATCTGAAGGTGAAAGAGAAATACTTGGAAGAAATACTGTTGAAATTAATATAGTAATGTAAATACATTCTGAGTGCATGATTGCATTAAACATTTACTACATTATACATTGTTAGACCTTGATGATTAGTTGACCCCACTTTATTTTTTAGAACCTGACTGATGATGTATCAGTTCGCTGATATGAGCCTTTCACAGATGCTTGTGAATCAGTATCTTTTCAATTAACAACATTTGCTTATTTGCACTTCTTTTCTGCTTATTTGCACTTCTGGTGAGATGCCAAACCTCATTTCGTTACTCTATACTTGTATATGTGTAATGACAATAAAGTTGAATCTCATCTCATCTCATCTCATCTCATCTAAAGATATCAAATCTTATTTTATAGAACATAGACCGATAAGGATGTTTTCTGTGATTTACTGGTTTTTACAGTTAAGCTTAATAATGCAAAAATGCAGCAGAACATCACATCATATCAACCGTCTACCTGCTGCTTCTCAAATGACTTTGCCCACACTATCAGCAGGTGAAATGGACGATCACAAGAGAAGGAAAGGTGGAGCAGAGAGGGAGAGAATAAGAAAGAGAAAGGCTCTCATCACAGTTTCAGGTTAGTCTACACAACCCACCTTAGCTAGCTAGAAACATTGTTAATAACAGGGTGACAAAACAGCCTGTAGGCTACATAGTGAGCACCACTCTCTGTAGAGTGATTAAATAATAGCAATAAGAGGTGCAACAGAGCGATCATATAACATTGAAGGGCCTGCGAATAGTGTAACACAATTAGTGGTTCACATTGGGGCCTGGGATGTAGTCAAACTCCCTGCCTGCATTATTATCCAAGTCTGCCCCTGACTGCAGGTGTTTTATAAACGTATAAACACCTGTAACACACCTGACATTATTTAGGGGTGTAAATCAGTTTCATCATGATACGATTACGATATGGATTCTTTCGACAAGGACACAATACCAGCTGATACCACAAAGGCCACGATGTGATTTAGAAATAAAGATGTATCATAAAGATGTAGATCGATAGTTTGACCTTCCATCAATTTGATTGGATAATTGATCTACCAATCAATATGTTGATCCAGATCGATGACTCATTGCACCTCTAATATTATTACGAATTTAAAATTTTATGACGCTAATTGCCCAATCCATAGTTGTATGACTGCAATCTGCACATCACCACGACACATGACCGTGGCTGAACAAGATGGCCGTGACTCGCATGCAGATGAATTTGAGGTATTGCGTCTCATCCAGTTTGATAAAATTGGAGCGCAAGTCTAAAAGAGACCTACATTTAACGAATAGAAACCATAACTTTCTTTCCTGTGGACTGTTTTCAGTTAGATTTGACCATATATTTTTTTCACACAGTATTGGTTTAACTCTTTTAAACTCCCCATTATAATTTTTTCCCGCCAGATATAGCGCCCATCTCTACACTTACCTTATAGAGTATAAAACATTCCCATTCTTAAATATCCTGAGCAGTTTGTTGTCTGTAGTCACTTCATGAAAGTGGGCGCCCTTCTCGTTGGCAAAGAACAGATCTGGTTTCCAAATGGAGTCCAACATTGAGGGGTCCAGGTCTAGAGAGTCATCGGGGTATTCAGCATAGGCAAGCCTGGGATCGTTCCACTGCTGACGGAGGAAGATGTTCACACGGTAGTCCTACAAACAGAGAAAGAAACATGAATATATATATGTAACAACTTAAATTCAACACACAGTTAAATGGTTGTTTAAGCCAAGTTTGACCCATACCAAGCATCATCAAAGTTTTTTTCACATGGGAATGACAACCTTCAAAAACAGTGATGTGTAGTTCTTTAACTGAGGACAAGAAATTGTAGCTTCTAAGGAAAGTTGTGGCCAGTTTGTCTGGAGCAACAGTGCTTTATCTCACACTTTAGATAAACATTCAATAGTCTATTTAAGATTATCCAAGGAAATAATGACTAAGACCTCTTAACAAGGTATAATACGCAGTGTAAAAATGTAGTGTGTTAAATGAATGCGCCAGGACCCAGACAAAAATGCTGTTGCAAAGTGGAAGAAGCTTGGTTCTGATTCTGAAAACAATGAGTAAACCTGTCACAGATGACCTGACCAATCTGGATGCTTGATAACTAATTAGCTTCCCTCTTGATTTCATGAGATTTCTGAAACAAGACTTCCCATAATCAAAAATCCAATCTGCTCAGTGTTTTCAAACATGTGAGAACCTGCTCAAGACAGGGACACTTGCAATTAACCCTTTGTTAAGCCCCTCCCTCACCAGGAAGTAACCCTTTGTCAACCCCCATCCTCTTGGTTACTGTTACTAGGTAAGACAAAATCTCCCCAATGCGGATATTTGAAGTCCCACTTTCAGACACCCCATGTACACCTTTCACCCATGTTGTAGCAGTTTCACCACAACGCACTGAAAAGAGTTGGACCACGTAACGGTTGCTATGAGAGGGGGCTCTCTGATTGGTGGTTCCATGGACAAATCAGAGAGCCAACAAAGGGCCATTTATAGAGAAATGTATGCCAGCTGTTTTGTGGATGCAGTAATGTTGGTTTGAAGTGGCTGAACCATATTGTTGCAAGAATACACATTGTCCTACTGCACGTTTGATGCAACTCCACTGGTCAAGATCACCCATCACCTGCCAAATTAATTTCAACACCTTTCAATCACCAGGGCAGACAGGTCTTTCTGACATTATCTAATGCACCTTTTATTAACCCTAAACATTTTAATGTATCTACTATTGATTTTGGACTTTGGTAGTATGTGTATTACTGTGAAGCATTTTGTAGCTGTGTGTTTTGAATGTTCTACATAATAAAGGCTTACCTACTTTTTCTTTTTCTATTTTCCACGTCAGGCAATGACTCAGTGGTTCTAAATACAGTTTTGAAGTAGCAGACAAAAAACTGAGTAGCCGGAAGAAATGATCAGCAACCTACCACAAACTAACATGTTTGCGGGTCTTGAGGTTTATATTCTATAGAGAAATCCATTTTTTTAAATATAGAAAATAGCCTTTTTGTAAAATTGTCTTGAGCCATTTCTACAACAAAACAAAAACAACTCTTCTATCTTGTCCAGACCTTCCTAAACCATCACATCGTTTCTCCACAGTGACACACTCTGTCTGACCCAAACGCTGTTTTACTGAACACTGCTCCTCTAACAGTCCTTTCTGCTGCCTTAACCTGTTAATGTTATCTATGTTGGAATTAAGAACAATGAGAGGAGATAAGCCTGGCTTATAGGGGGGAGGGGGATGATGGCTATGCATAACTCAGGGCAGTTATCAAACATGGTGTATGGCTGATATTTGTAGAGTAGGAAACGTTTTTGTGAACATTTAAACCATAAGTTTAAAAAAAATGCAGAATAAACATTTGGAGAAAACACGGAGCATCTCAAACTGCTCGCTTGACAGAGAACTGAGTGTCCTGAGCCTAGTATCACTCCATTGTGCTGCAACTTCAGCTCTGAAGAATATTCCCAGAATGCACTGTTAAAGGTACTGAGCATCTCTGCTCAGTGTGCTCACTGACTGGAAGTGACATCACTACTCTTCCACTTCACTACACTTCCAGCAGAGCCAGAATCATTGCAGGGTGAGCACAGACGCAGCTAATGAAATTAAACAAGGGTAAGTCTGATTTAGGTGTGACAGTAATGCTAACTGTTGCTGATGCTTACGGCCTACATGAGTCAAACATGCAATTTTTTTTTTACATCATGAGTAGTCTGTGTGCTTATGATGTGACTAGGCTTGAGGAAAAACAATGAATATAAAAATGTATTGTTACGGTGATGTCAAAGTGTTAAAACCTCTTCCTTCCTTATTTGTCTTGACCATACACCCTACTGTTAAGAAAACAATCATTATCATCGCTGCCAAGGTCTTCTGTAGCAGATTCATCTAGGTCCCAGTGTTCATTGATGCAGAAACTTAATCAGAGCAGGAGACTCAATTCACTGTACAGTGATTCACTGCATGCTTGGGGTAATCCTGAACATCCTGAACATCCAGATGGAAAGATGTGATGTGTTTCGGCAGGGAAAAGGCTCACATATAGAGCTATGGGTTAATCCAGTATTTCTTTTGAAAAACTGGGCCTTATATCTTTACATTTTGGGACTGAATTGCTCACAGGCACATTACATTTGGAATTGCTTTAATTGATTACTTCAGCCTGCAGCTGGGGAATGGACTGTAGTGGCTGCAACATAATCTTTGGGTGTCGATGCAAATTTTGGCCATTCACAGATTCTTGACATTTACACAACTTAAAACCTATCCAGAGCAGTATGACATGATTCATAACCTGTTATTAATGAATGTGGCCACCTAAAGTTTCAATTCAAAGGTTAAAAAAGCTAACCCAAATAACCAGGATGCAGGTGCACTGTGACAACAAAACAGCAGAATTATTCTCACACAGGTTGGGACTTGACATGATTTGTGTGCTGACAGACCTGTGTCTTTATCATGTGTCTCCCTGTGCAGCCCGACACACTGAACACTGCTCGCACACAGATACACAGTGGATTAAGAGGGATGGAGAGATGCAGTGAACAAATGAAAAACAGAGAGTGTAACAGTAGTAAATCTGTTTAACATAGATAGCGTGTACAGAGCAGAGTGAACCAACCTGGCTCTAAGCTTCGACTGTGTGTGTGCGTTTGTGTGTCTGTGGCACAGGACATTCAAATTAACTCCAAATCTCTCTTCCCTTTTGTTTTTCTTCTCTCTCTCTCTCTCTCTCTCTCAGTGACATAATGGTAAAACGAAAGCACGGAGAAATGTCACTGAAAACACCCACTAATAGAATCTGGTTGGATAAATTAAGACCTGGCATACAGAATTTAAATCTATACCACTGATTTAGGTACATGGTTCATATGTTTTTCCAACTAAACTTTGCATGAAATGAAGATCCCTCTCATCATCACCTGCTCAGGAAGTAAATTTCATAATGAACTTTGTATTGAGCAGATACATTAATTATTTATATACATTTGTTATATTATTGCTTATGCATATCTAAAAGAAAAGTTGATTTAAAACTAAACATGCTGTCATTATTTGTGACTCTAATTCAAATCCAGTCATATATCGTAGTATATCATATCATATCAGATCATATCATATCATCACACTCTCAAACCTGGTACCAATTCAAAATGCTTTCAAACATATAATAGCATTCACTGTCGCTCTTTTACCATCTATTTAAACTATGTTTACATGACAGGTGTTCTTCCTAAATTGGGAAGGAAAAATTGTTCAGTTTTTCTGATTTTTTTCTGATCTTCCTTAACTCTCTTTTATTTCGGTCCCCTATCTGATAATGCCATCGTGGCTGGTCTGATTTGTCTTTGTTTGTTGTGATGTTAAATCTGTGAGCAGCACAACATCTCTTTAATAATGTTAAACTTCTGTCTTTTTTTTTTTTTTTCTTCAATTCATCAAGATGTGTGGTCCTTTTGAATATGCCACCTGCCCATTGAACATGCACCCTCAGTTATCAGGTAAGGCAGCTTGCAAATATTTTCTAACGATCTAAAAATGAAAGTACTTTTGTAACCATGTGTTCCAACTGTTAACGTTTTATTTCAGGGCTCTCCAAATGTATTACGATTTTATTTTTATCCAATTATTTCTTCCACTATCAAGTTGTTGTTTATATCAGCTTAACATTATTATGGCACTGTATCATTTATTTTCTGTTCATTTTATTGTCTATTTCATGTAAAGTAAATGTTGCATGAATGTTCCTTAGTGTAATCACTTTAAGCTACATGTCTTGATGAAAGGTGCTAATATAAATAAATACTATGTTTTAACTGTGATTCTCATTTTTCACTTCTTTTTCCTCCTACACCACATTTTGAATGATTGTATGAAACAGATATTAGCGTGTCAGTTAAACATTATTGAAATGTGTTTTTGATGTGTTGAGGTTATGTCACCGTGCTCTCTTGTTTGCAGAAGGAAAAGAGGGGTGGGTCGATGAAAAGCCAGATGGTGAGAAGAGGGAAAGGTCTTAATCCTAATGTAACATATGGCCCCTGTATGTACGTATCTCTCTGTGCTGCTCTGAGAACTAACTGTGCACCATGACCTCAGCAGAAACACTGACCCGTCACTCTGCACAGTCATCCTCTTATACTCACGTTTTTTTTACCTTTTATTAAAAGTCTCTTTATTGACCCTGACTTCTAGATCCTCTTAGATTACAGATCAATCAGTGGATTAAGACCTTTGACTCATGTGTGATATATATCCAACACCAGCCTTTTAGCTTTTCTAAAGCCAATATTATGACTTGTGCAGGAACAACTTGAATATGTCTGTGCTTTTCACAAATTATATATGATTTCCCCCAGCTCTGACTATCAACTTCTGTTAAAACTCAGTTTCAATTCGTATAATAAAGTAAATTCAGTATAATATATCTTAATCTTCTGGCTCAAAAGGCTAAACTGATCAAAGTGTTTGTGAATTGGTGAGCTAGCAGCCATAAAACTAACCTGTCAAGGCAGCAGTGGACCAGCAAAACAAAGTTTGCTAAATAAATACAGGACTTTTGTCAGTGAAATCTGGAGGCTTTGAAGCTGTAACTAGTTTTACAACAGGTGTATTTCTATGGGGAAACTTTCTGTAATGTTGCCAGATGCTTACAATAACAATCTCAGCTGTCAGCAGAAAAAAATGGGCTGTCAAATGATAACTAATTTGAATGGCTAAATTAAAATCGTTTATTAGCGATTGATCAAAATTCTGCTACCATGATTGAAATACCATTTAAAAATAAAATGAATAAAAATTAGATTTTTGTAACAGTCTTAGACTGAGAGTACTTGCTGTTTGAATGTATCCTCTGCCTTTATAAAATGAAATAAAGTAAACACCTCGGGAACATCGAAGATTACGACTTTAATTTAACCATGGTAAAAGGAGCTCGTTGAGGCATTCAAAGAGGCACCATTGTCGTTCTTTTTAGGAGGCTTATCTACACTTAAGTAAAACTTGATCAGGATATTTATACTTAGAAATATTTAGAACTATTACCCTATATTTAAATTTTTCAATCATGAAATAGGATCTTTTCATGCTTCGAAACAAAATATACATTTCGATGTCGAAACCAGAAAAAGCTTCTTATAACTTATGGCAGTCGTTCTCAAACTTTTTCTGTCATGCTCCTCTTGGGAGGAGGAACATTTTTATGGATTTTCAAATAGCTTTTTATTCTTTCTTAACTGAGTCTTCGGCGGATCAATGCAAAACCACAAAACTCCTTTTCTTTTTAAACATTTCACTTGCAACCCCTTTATCACAACAGGTGAGCTTCATGTCGGGAGGCTTGTTATAAATGCAGCAAAGCCAAGAAAGAGCAGAATCACTGACTTAACAGCTGACATCTTTCTTTTTGTTGTCTTTCTCTCTGGTCACCTGCAGAGTATAGCCTACAGACCTGCAGCATGTATGTGAGGGGTACAGAGAGAGGGAGATCACATACTAGTCCAATGGTTCAAACGTACGTTAATGGGTTACAATTAATTCGAAAGACCAATTTGGGTACATCTGTCTGAATATTGATTAATGTACACTGTCCCTTTTCAAATAAATAAATAAATCTGTCTTAAAGGCATATCATATGGGCGGACAATAAACCTGGATGGGCGCTTACAAACCTAGGCAGCCCACCAACATGAGAAACACTGCACACTACATGTTCCCCCAGAAGTACTTACTGATTGTTTCAGCCGTTAATGACAAAATAAAGCTCTACATTAAAAGTGAAAAATTAAACTTGTGTTATAAAAATCTAAATGACAATATTATAGAAAAAACATGATCATAAGGATGGTTTGTCTGTGTTCATGTAGCTACTACAGTCAGACTCAAAGGAAAAAGACATGGGCGCCACACGCACACACAGACGCTCACACACACACGCACAAACACACACACAGACACAAACACACATTTGTTCATGAAAAATTCACGAGTCTGCTAAATAATGAAAGTCAAATGAAAGCAATATTTAACATTCTGAAATTTCTTGCGAGGCAACCACACAAAAACAAACACACACAGGCATACACACATACATACAAATAGCATATCTGTCAGAAGCACTCCCGGTGGTGCAGAAAGCACTTAGACCCTGTCACTTCAATCATCCATCGACTCGTCCATCCATTCATCTCCAGCTTGACTGATCACCAACAGTCCGCTCTGTAAGGACGTGACAGATGGCTGATGGAGACTGAAGTGATGTCGGAGTTCAGCGAAGCATCAAAAATGACTTCAATCATCAAAGACACTTTGAATAGTTGTATCTATCGATAAAAGCTGACATTAGTTTAGGTCTATGAAGGTTGATACCAAAGCAGTAGATGATTCCAATGGACTCCCCAGAAAAAAATAAAATGTTAAACTCATGCTACTTTCATGTATTTTACATTTACTCATTGGAAGTGGTCCCAAACTTATTACAGAACCATAAGAAGTGTTTTTGTAAATAATCACTAAGGGTATTTGCATGAAAACAGGAGACAATCAACTCGAAGCCTAGGATTTGTTTGTTATGTCTTCTGTACATACAGCATATATGTTTTGGTCAAACACGAGGTAAGCTAGTGGCCAATAAGCAAAAAGACTGCACCATTAACATGGCTTCATCAACAGTTGGTATTCTTGGAGTACATGGTTGTGTTTAATCAGTCAGCCACATTTTGCTACTTATAGGAAAATCTTAATCCAGGCATTGAGCCCTGCTTGTACCTTTAGGGACACATACAAATCTAAAACAATCCAGTTGGGCTGTTACCTCTGTGCAACCGGGGGAAGCGGAGACGCGTTGTAAATTTTACAGTATTTGAACAGGAATCACAGCTACCTTTTACCCTCTAGTAGATGACAAGCTCTACTACATTTCCTTCCTTGTTTGTCCGATTGTTTGCCCCACTGAGGGACTGAACAACTGAACAAACTGGGACATCAAGTCCTAAATGAGATGGAGTGACTTTAACAGGCTAACAAAGTTATTGAATGTTTTTACTCCAGTTCGACTGACAGCTTTGACACATTTTTAAAAAAATCTAATGAAGCATGCAATGAGACCCATAAAACTCCTTGTCTTAGTCTGTGTACATGTGTGTGTATGCATATTATGGATGTACAAAGCAGCCAAAGTGCAGCCTGAGTTGACTTCATGTCACTTTAAAGAATCTACTGTCAGAGTCACTAAATGTCTCACTACACATCTGCTATTCCTGTCTGCCTGTCTGTCTCCTCTAATATCTGTCTCTGTCTGCCTCCATCCGTCATGATCTCCCCTCATCACTGTGTTGGCCCTTCTGCCATCTTTTAAAGCTTTCCTCTCTTCCTGTTTCTCATTATTTTCCCTCTTATAGCCACTCACAATCGAACACAATATTTAACAGTAGTGCAAACAATGCTGTGTATCTGTTAACTAAATAAAACATTTATTCCCTTTACAGATTCTACATAAAATGCTGTACTCAGGGGTCTGGATTTACAGTATCAGAAATGTTACTTTTTCTGAGTAGTATTGATCAATCACGTATTGGCAGGCTTTGGTGTATGCAGGAAAACAATTTGTATGGAGGGCAAAAGCAGGCTGAACACAAAACTATATCCAGCTCCTGTTGGAGGTGATGCAATTTATTTATCTTATGTATGTCTTCATGTACAAACTGTGTCAGCTGTGATGACAAATTTCCCCCTGGGGGACAATAAAGTATTGTATCTTCATTCATACAAATCTGATGCAATTGCAGCTAAAATTAGACCTAGATGATATCATATAATTATTATCATATAACAGATCTCCTGACTCCCTGGTATGAATCACAAGAAAAAAATTGTTTTTCTCATATGACTAGTGAAGCCTCAGTGTAACTTACTATTTACAGTTAGACTGAGACTCACAAAGATAAACAGGGGCTTCTCTGCTAAGTCATTATTTAAGAAATGACGGCATTTACCTTTTGATAGAAAGTAAGCTAAGAGTATATATAAATCAATTAACCATAATAATTAATCAAAGAATCAGAATTTTGTCAGAAATTAAACAGTACGGAGATCCGACTACTTTTCCCCACCAGATTGTTTTTTTCACTTATTGTGAACTATAATATGAATAGGATCATGTTAGAAAGGAGCAGCTCCCAAGGGGACATATTTCAATGGTTTTATTAATGGATTGACTTTTCCCTACTCATCTTGTAACGTCTCAGATTCTCTTGCTCTACAAACTTTTCTCTGTACATTCATATAGATTCCTTGACGGCATATACTGGTTTCCCACTCTGTGGATTCACACTGGGTTTCAGCGTTGCGGAAGCACAGCTGGATCTTCACGTAGACACACAGTCAGACATGCACACACACATCACTGCACTCCCTCGCTGGCTCTGCTGAAACAGTCTGCGCTGAAGCCGTCTCGCCTGTAACACCTCTGAAGAAGGTACAGAGTGGGGATCATTTTGTTTCCCCATTATGCCTCCATGATGTTCAGATTGAAGGTGAAACATGACAGGGGCTTAAATATCTTGTTTTCAAACTGCAGTCTGATTAGGGTTTATGACTCAGGAGTTTGTCAGTGGATTTCAATTTTTCAGTTTAGACATTTTCCCCCTTTCCTTCAGATCTAAGAGAACTCTTAATGTACATGTTGGACGTGGATGTGATGTCAGCTCAATCGGACTAGCCCTGCAGAAGATCACCCTGTTTATTTAAACATTAACTGCTTTATTCAGTGTTTTAGGCAGTTTAACTCATCTTATATAATCATTTTGGAAAGAGGTTGAATCAGCTTCTGTTAAAGAGCTCTTGAACAAAGATTTACAATGATGCAGATTTGCAAATCATATTCGTTTTATCTGCAATCTGCATTTATATTCAAATAAAAAAGATATTTCCACCCTGTGCACTAATGAAAGGAGAGGGCATCACAGCCTCTATGTTACCCTCCCTGGCCTGAAGGCCCACATTCAGATTTAATGACGTCTGACCTGACTAAAGTATGACAGCATCCTGTCTGTGCACCCAGCACAAACCTGAATATTAAGCCCTCAACAGAAAACTCTAAAAACATTTTACTTATTTAAATCCTTGACAGCAGTGAGCTTCTTGTCAAATGCAAATGCAGCTTGTTTAAAATATAAGTTTGCCTGAAACAAGCTGCAAAGAGTTTTCTGCAAAGTGCAGCCTGTGATCCTACTTAGCGTTTACTTTTAATGGCCATAATATTTTCATGTTAAGAACGTCACACATAAATTCATTTGGGTCCAGGGCAAATGTGTGTGTAGATCACACCTCCAAACAAATGCCCTGTGGATACCTCTACATGACTTTACATATTTGTATGTTTTATTTTTATAAAGAAAAGGGTTTCATGTTAAACTTTTGTACAAGCTTTTTCTGTTGTTCATGTGTTTTAACTGCAGTTTCATACAGTATCTCTGCAACTTACCATGGTGGTTTCAGCAATGGAGCCAAAGCTGTTAATGAAAATGTTACAGGACACATTGACTGGAGGACCTGCAGAGAGAGAGAGAGAGAGAGAGAGATGGGGGAGAAAGAGACTAACTGATTGTAATAGATATTTAATATACATAATACAGTAAATTTGAGATAAATTAAGGAATGTTTCTGTGAAGCTGCCCTTTAGCAAACATGAATTGGTCTTAGAGGAACCACAGCACAGTTGTTTTACATATTAAGTTTGAATACATTTTCATTTTAAAACACACCACTGATACCTGGCAGTCTATATGTAACAACATAAACATGTGTGAGCATTTATCCATTCTCCTAGATGTTAAAGAAGATTAAGATCTCCTGAAAATGTTCTACTCAGTTTTAATGTATTGTATTTTTTAGGTGCTTTTTCACACAAAAGTAAATATATAGGCCAAGAAACATTTTAAATTCTGTCATTACAATGTTCAGAGTCTTTGATGTACATCCCTTACATGAGAAAATTAAGTTTGTTTCTGTCTGTTCATGATTTAATATTATATACTGTATGCTATTAAAATATTTTCATGATAATTTGACGGTGCAGCCCTGTGGTACGTTCTTAAAAATTTTGTATACAATGTTCAACAGAACAATGTCTTACATCGGGCTTAAAATTATACTTGACCCTTACAATAGTTTATATTGATGGAGATCATTTTCTTGATTTTCTTATTTTTGTGACCATGCATGAAGCTACATTTTTTATTCAGGAACACACTGAAATGTTTCCATTGCTGGGGTTTTGCATCGGAATTTTTATGTACAGTCAGTTCAAAATCATGAAAATGCCAACACAACTTTATTAAAGACTATTTGGTAAAGCAGGTGGACTGATTAGATTAATGAGAGACCAGTAGGAGGAGTCTTGGCTTTGGATCTTAATAAGAAAAGTTACATTTTCATCAATTAAGGAAAAATAAGGTTTCCAGAGAGTTTTCCAGTGAAGTAGCTTACTCTATGTTGGAGATCAACATTATTTTTCACCACATAAATCAGCAGCAGTTGCCTCTCTAGTATCATCAAATCAAATTATATCAAACAAAAACATTGTCTAGCTGTAACACTATACATCAGCCCTATCAATCAACATTGTTGGTTCCTGTGGAGAAATATAGACCAACACAAATGAAAGTATATAGATACTGCACCTTTAAAGTTCGGTCTTATCCTGGCATCATATCCAGACGTCCTCCCCATCAGTTTGTCCAGGAAATCAGACGGAGACATCGGGACCTGCCGTGTCCTCGCAGCATTGTCCAGCTCCTTACACTGGCTCACACTACATATATAAAAAAACAAAACACAAACATATGTAATCATCCGAGACATTTAAACACTAAAGCATAGTTTAAGACCTGCAGTGAGTTGCAGTGAGCAGTGAGGGACACCCCGAGGAAACACCTGAAAACTGAACTCAAGAACACGCAAAAAATATTTTTCTAACCCTAATCCTGAATTTCATTATATTAGACATTCCTTCTTCCCTCAGCCCCACCTTTATTTACATAAACAATATTAAAAGAAACTTTAAATATCTTTCAACCCTTTGGCATATAACAAATGCTAAACAAGGTTGAATGAGGAAGTGGTACACACTCAGTTTGAATAGACTGTGTCAATATCCTGGACAAGATAGTAAGAAATCCTGCTTAATGAAGATGTGAATGAATTTATGAGTGCTTGAATAATGTTGGGGTTCAAGGTCCTTTTTGGAGTTTCAACAGAGCGTATGAAACTTATTTCCCATAGCACTTCATGTATTGCCAATGTAACATATTTAAAAAACAAGACCTGCCCTGTTTGCCTCTAACATCCTTTCGACTAATTTTAATGAGAGGAAAAAGAAATCCAGAGGATCTGAGCTTCCAATACATGCATTTCTTTAGCGCTGGTGCCAAAGTTGTTCATGTTAGCTTAGCAACGGAGCCCTGATTAAACACCTGCAACAACCACAACACAGAGTCCATAGAGGGTTTTTCTAGTGAAGCCCGTCGATCCAAACAACAATAAGATCAATGTCCAGTGTAACTCTAGCGACAACAGTGGCGGGGCATTTAATTCTTTATTGCTAGCTAACATTAGCTTTCTTGCTAACATGTACAACTGCTGGCTAGTTAATGTAGTAAAGTCCTGTCGTTTTGCTTTTTAACATTATTGATAGCAGAAGATGACTGGATATGTTAGTTGGCTAGATTGTTAAATTATCAGCTCCATGCATGATCCATGATATACTGAGTTAAAAATAATTAAATACAATTCAACAGAAAAGAACCCAAAGTGCACGATACCCAACAGACATATATAACCTGACCATCATAAGAACTATTATAAGAACCATCATAAGAACCATTATAAGAACCATCAGGCAACACAAGAACCATCATAAGAACCATCATAAGAACCATCAGGCAACACAAGAACCATCATAAGAACCCAGGCAACACAAGAACCATCATAAGAACCCAGGCAAGACAAGAACCATTATAAGAACCATCATAAGAACCATCAGGCAACACAAGAACCATCATAAGAACCCAGGCAACACAAGAACCATCATAAGAACCCAGGCAACACAAGAACCATCATAAGAACCATCATAAGAACCATCAGGCAACACAAGAACCATCATAAGAACCCAGGAAACACAAGAACCATCATAAGAACCATCATAAGAACCCAGGCAACACAAGAACCATTCTAAGAACCACCAGGCAACACAAGAACCATCATAAGAACCCAGGCAACACAAGAACCATCATAAGAACCATCATAAGAACCATCATAAGAACCCAGGCAACACAAGAACCATCACAAGAACCATCATAAGAACCCAACAACACAAAATGAGACCAAGAGGACCAAAGATTTAAAAAGATGTAAGAAACTAAAAGAGCTAAAAGCAAATCAAAAGAGAACAGCAATAAGAAGGTAAGAGCAGTAAAAGAAATAGAAACAAGTGGTTAAAGGATTAAAAAACCAAAAAACCAATAATATTAATAAAAATAAAGATAAAAAATTACCAAGTTAAAACACAAGAGGAGTTAAAGATAAATGATTGTGCACTGTCAACGATTTACATCACAAAAACATATATCATTTAAAAAATGAAACCACAACTTTTATGTCAGCCTTGATATGTACTCCGCCACTGTTGCCCCTAATTATATATTATTAAACCTACAACTGACTTTTGTGAAAAACTCCGGCCAACATTGTCACTGCTGCACTGTGTGAGTTGCTAAGCTCTTTCAGTATTTGTTTTTTTATCAGTGTGAGTACATGTGTGTGAGTGAGTGTGTGCATCTGATCTGAGTCCTTTATGTAACAGTTACCAAATAATGATTTACTCCACTTGTGGTAATGTAGTTTCATTATATAGCTTTCTATGTAATATTATTGGGATCTTCATTGGCAGTTAGTCCTGCTGCATTGTGTAAAGGCACAGCAATGTTTGTGTGTCCTGGTTTGAATGGATAGTAGTGTTTCAATTCTACAATAAAGCCTAATGATCCTTAAACTGCACCCAGTACGTTTTTTTGGCGGTTAAGACAGGATGGAAAATTTCCAAAAAAAACTGTCTGCGGGTCAGACTGCCAAACACACACACGCACTGATTCAGCACACGCAAGAGTAGTTTCAGGATCATCACCCTTTTCTTTGGCATTTGGAAGGAGCTTCCATTCACCCCAGCAAGGATTGACCTTAAGCAGCTCCTACAGAAGAAGGGTGTTGACCGTGATTTTGATTACTCATTTAACCTCCTCTTGACATGAACTCACAGTAGCCGTGACAGCAGGAGACTAAGAGACAGGAACTCATTCATTTCCAATGAGCTTTGGGAGCAGAGCCACAGCTGGAGGAGGAAATCAACGACTCGCAGAAAGTAGAGTTTAATGACGAGCTAAAAAGTCCAGACGAGATAAAAAAAAAAAAATAATAAAAAAAACATTTGCTCCAAAATTCCAATCTTTTGCTATAGCCTTTGTAGCCAGAAGTGACCAGATAAGAGCAAACTAGCAACTCACTCATCCACATCTTGTAGGGGAGCCAATATTGCAATATTTGACTGACATTTCACTCACCCCCCCCCCCCGTACTGCACCAATGATTAGTATCATTGCATTAATTCATTTATACATTATGCAATCAGATCAATGCATTACTTACCGGCCTGCTACTTCTACTCAAAAAAAGCTTTACATATTCTGATTAATCACAACCTCAATGTGCTTTATCATTTCTGTGAGCCAATGTAAATCTAGAGAGGTTGGGTTGGAAAGTAAAACATAACCACTCCTTCCCGTAAAGTGCTAAAAACAACAAGAGAAAATCAACCACCAACCAACATGTTTTATGAAAAGAACACAGTTATAAGTAAAATACACATGTTGGATGCAATTTGTAATCACTACTCTCACTATAATACATTGCAATGATATATACATTTATAAGAAGTATTCCATAATCAACTCTACTAAAGTATCATCATCTCATTTGAAAACTAGGCCAACAGATGGATGATTGCTCCTTTGTAGAAATACAGATAAGGAAAGATAATCTTTTCAATCATCCTATAAACATTTGCAGCCAAACTGGACCTTTAATTGTAGCCAGGGATTGACTTAATTTTCCCAGGGTTCATCCCCAACATTTCTGGGGCCTAGCCAGGTCCACATTTTGGTCCAACTCATCCATCTTTACCTTTTGGTGGAAAACGGCTGACACACGTCACTGAGTTTAAGTCTCAAAAAAGAAAAAAACTAAACTAATTTCTTCAACTTGGCTATCTTTTCTGCCTGTTGGAGTCAAACATAATGCCTTGAAACAGATTAATAGGGCCTCTACTTAGGACAAAACTAAAGCACTTCAGTGAGTTAACAAGTAAAACCTCAAATATTAGCATTCACTAACAGTTTGGCCAGAATTAGCTCCATACAGTGACTGAGCAATAAGTGATGAAAAAGAAGATACCTATGTGGTGTGGTTTATCTTTCCAGGTGGGATTTAAAGACAACAGTTCACAGCCATGTAAATGTCAGCCTTAGCCCTCTTCAAACATGAACTGAAGTCTTGATAGTATAACTGTGAGCTCAAAGTTTCAATATCTACTGCTATTAAAGTTTGCAAAATAGCTGAGGTCATGTGTGAAAGGAGCTTTGTTGAAGGCAGGTACTTTTTTTAACATCAGAGATGTGAAATATATTATTATAAATTTGACATTCATTAGGTTTTCTAAATGGCCAGTATCAAAATGAAAAGCTATTTTCCTCAGGTCTAAGGACATTGACCCAGAGTCAAGAAAGTAAGCTCATCATCTCAGGAAACCATGACCTCAAATATAAACGTACACAAATCTGTTCCTATTGTCGTGCCAGACTTTTGCACAGTCTAGCTCTGAGGTGATACAATCCCTAAAGCAGCCCTCAGCACGAGGGGATGCTGACACACAGAAACTTGCTGCTGGGAGCTGAGTGCAGATCTGCTTCCTGGGTGCTGCGTCACCAACAAAGTCTCTGTCTACTGTCTGTGTGAGTTTGCCCATGTACGTCCATGTGTCTGCTAGGAGTGTTTGAATCATGCTCAACATTGTGTTTGTGTGTCTCTGCGCATTTCTCTCTCTGAGACAATAGCCTAACAGCGTTTCTTCCTGTCTGTGGATGCAGGTGCTGCATAAGCCTCTGTGGACATTGATGTTGAGTCTACTGCATTAGCAGTGTGAAGCAGGCATTCCTCGTTGTGTGAATGAGGCTGTACACATGTAGTAGCAGACTGCTTGACCCACACATAGAAGTCACAGTGACACAAGCCTGCAGCTCATGGGTGTTTGGACAATGCTACCAAGCAGCAAAGATTTCTCCGGGTCTGAAGCTGTGACCCAGAAGGCAAATATATACTTTTGAGTCACATTTTCTATAACCTCAAGAATATCTGCACGAGAAAATCCCTTTCTGTAAAACATAAAGAGTTTAAACCTCTCGTGAGGAGGTTTTAGCTGGTTCTGAGCCTCTGAAGGCTCAGGTAGGGAAAAAAGTAGTTTGCAAATCCGTTCCCATGTTTCCTAAAGTGTGGGCACATTTTATAATCCGTGAATGATGAACATTTATGGGATAGATATCGAAAACCAATAAAAGTAAAATTTTGGAGCTGTTTAAAAATTATTTCCTGTTTTTCATACAATAAAAAACACCTGCTCTGTTTATTCACTTTGCAATTAAATGCTATGTGTTTATCTCTGATATCGTTGGATGCTGTGGTCTGTCACTGTTGAGAAGGAGGCATGACTAGCTGCATGGTCTGCAGGTCAGCTTCAACAGTTGAGC